AAAACTACCTTATCCACGAGGGTTTAAAATTACTGGGCGCCGTAGCGAGCACGGTAATCCTTCAGGCGCTGAATCTCAGTGGCACCGATCTGGGCACCCAGCTTCTCGATAAGGTCGTTAAGACCAATGACCGCACGGATGGGGATGTTACCACCCAGATCACGCTGCGCGCAACCGATAGCGCTCTTGGACTCGGTATCATTGACCCGTTCCTCGCGGTCCAGCAGGACAACGACACCGGCAACGATTCCACCCTCCTTCTCGATGATACCGACGGCTTCGCGCAGGGCAGTGCCGGCAGTGATGACATCGTCAACGATGACCACGCGCTTGCCCTTCAGAGCGGCACCGACGATGTTTCCACCCTCGCCGTGGGCCTTGGCTTCCTTGCGGTTGAAGGAATAGCTCACGTTGTCCCAGGTACCTTGGGGAGATCCGGAGAGCGAGTCGCGCACAGCGAGCTCATTGGTGACGGCGGCACAAATGGGAATACCCTTGTAGGCGGGGCCGAAGATAATATCGAAGTTTGGCTTGGGGACACCGTCAGCGCCGGTGGTGACAAAGGGCTCCGAGGACAGGACGCTGGCGTAGGCGGCGGAGGTCGCACGAAGGAGAGGGGCGGTGTGCAGCAGGGAGGATGTGAAGAAGTAAGGAGACTCGCGGCCAGACTTCAGGACGTAAGTGCCGAAAGACAAGACATTGTTGGAGATCAACAGCGGCAGAAGGGAGGACTTGTAGTCCTGATCGGCGGAGGGAGGAGGGATGCTGGCGGCGGACATGGTGGGGGGGATTGGGTGAGATCGGTAATTAAGAGGATCGAGAAGGTGCACTCTGGGAGGAGAGAAGAGGCAGAGAGAACAAGGAGGGCAACTGGAAGTTGGAGGTTGGAGGGTTGAGGTTGGAGTATGTCAAGAGCGATAAGCGGACGCGAAGGGAAATTTTCCCCGGAACCCTTTTTTTCCCTTCAAGGAGGGGCAGGAGGGGCAGTTTGAGCATCAGAGCCCATTCTCCCAACACTGGCACAAAAAGGAGACATTAGAGTCAGGAGTCGGGATATTGAGATAGATTGAAATAGAAGAGAATTCATATTAGCAGAGCAACTCCCATCAAGAGTTGTCGTTGACCACAAAAGTTGCTTTTGGAGGGCACAGAACACGTGCCTCCGACCATCGGCCTCCCCCGCCAAATCCCAATCGATCGAAGAGTGTTTTCCCTTTTCCTTCACCTTCTCACCACCACCACATATCCTCCTCCCCCCCCTTTTGCTCTTTTTTATTCTTCCCCTTCCTTTTTTTGTCTGACCGTCCCCTCCTGTCAACAACCGAGCCGCGGGATTCATTTACAAGTCGGGATTCCTGGTGAATACCTGGTGTTTGCAAAAGACCCCCGCAGCAGGAACAGCCCATTTTAGCCCTCCCCTGGGTGTTGCTGACAGAGGAAATCGGTTAATTGTCGAGTTGTTGCTCTGTAAGATTTCCCCCACCCACTTCCACTTCCGATGGATGTCAAGATTTGAGCATTCGCGATCTGTGGATATTGGCCCCAGGTTCTTCTTTCACCAGATTGCTAACATTCCGAGAATTAGACTGAACCGATACAATGCATATTCGTGAGAAGATTGCGCAGAAAGAGGCTGCGGGGGAGCCGGGGATCTCCTTCGAGTTCTTTCCCCCTAAGACTGCACAGGGTGTGCAGAACCTTTACGACCGAATGGACCGAATGGCCAACCTGGGTCCTGGATTTATCGATATTACATGGGGTGCGGGTGGTCGTCTCTCGGAGCTGACCTGTGAAATGGTGGGCGTTGCTCAGTCTGTCTACGGACTGGAGACCTGCATGCATCTCACTTGTACCGATATGGGTCAGGAGAAGGTGGACCAAGCTCTCGCTGCGGCATACAAGGCCGGCTGCACCAACATTCTGGCACTCCGTGGTGACCCTCCTCGTGACAAGGAAACTTGGGAGGCTGCCGATGGTAATTTCCGATATGCAAAGGATCTTGTTAGCTATATTCGCCAGAAGTACGGTAACCACTTCGATATCGGTGTCGGTGGCTATCCCGAGGGAGCTGATGACAACGACGATGTGGATCAATTGATCGATCATTTGAAGGAAAAGGTGGACGCCGGAAGCTCTTTCATCATTACCCAGATGTTCTATGATGCCGAGAACTTTATCGAGTGGGTGAAGAAGTGCCGCGCCAAGGGTATCACCATTCCCATCATTCCCGGTATCATGCCTATCCAAACATACGCTTCCTTCATTCGTCGCTCCAATTGGACCAAGACTCGCGTGCCGCAACAGTGGATGGAGGCTCTCGAGCCAGTCAAAAATGACGATGCTGCTGTCCGAGACATCGGAAAACACCTCATCGCCGACATGTGCCGGAAGCTCATGGCCTCGGGTCTCAACCATCTGCACTTCTACACCATGAACCTCGCCCAGGCAACGAGATTGGTTCTTGAGGAACTAGGTCTCGCACCGTCTGACGATTCTCCAATTCAGCGCCCACTGCCATGGCGACCTTCTCTTGCCCTCGGCCGCAGAGGCGAAGACGTCCGACCTGTCTTCTGGCGTAACCGTAACTCCTCATATGTCGCCCGCACCCAGACATGGGACGAATATCCGAACGGCCGCTGGACCGATTCTCGCTCTCCTGCATTCGGTGAGCTCGATGCTTACGGTGTTGGACTGAAGGGTACAAATGAGCAGAACATCAAGTTGTGGGGCGAACCCAAGTCGATCAAGGATCTCTCTGACATCTTCATTCGCTTCCTGGAGGGCAAGTTGGAACGATTGCCCTGGAGTGACAGCCCTATCACAGCAGAGGCAAGCGATATCCATGATCTTCTGCTGAACGTCAACCGTCGTGGTTTCTTGACCATCAACTCGCAACCCTCTGTGAATGGTGTCAAATCATCCCACCCCGTGTACGGATGGGGACCCAAGAACGGTTTTGTCTACCAGAAGGCCTACTTGGAACTCATGGTGCCATCGGATTTGATCGACCAGCTCATCGCAAAGATTGAACAGAACGATGATCTCACGTACCACGCAACTCGGAAGAACGGCGATTTGAGAACCAACACTAACGACAGCCCCAACGCCTTGACTTGGGGTATCTTCGCTGGCCGAGAAATCATTCAGCCGACCATCGTCGAGACAATCAGTTTCCTCGCCTGGAAGGACGAAGCGTATGCTCTGGGTGATGAATGGGCGAAGTGTCACGATGCTGCAAGCCCCAGTCGCAAGTTGATCCAACAGGTCATGAACGACTGGTGGCTCGTCAACATCGTGGACAACGACTTCCACCGAACCAACGCCGTCTTTGATCTCTTCAACGATCTCGAGATCAAGGACTTTGCCGTCGAACTGCCAGGCAAGCCCGAAACCAACGGCACAGCCGAACTGAACGGCACTGCCGCCAAAAACTAAAATCACTTCCACTCAACCGGAAGAACGAAGAACCTATTCCCTTGACGTTATCCCCTTCGCAGGCTCGTGAATTCCCGAGCCATTGTCAACACTACCTCTACAAACTCTACCTAATTCAACATCACCTATCTCAACGATACTCAACGATTAACAAGCCCGAAACAAAACATCCAACACCATATCTCGGGCCCCCTCCCTGCAATGTGTCATGGCGTCACGATTGAAGACCTCTCAACGATTTCTTCCTGAGCGTTTCTTTTCCACTTTCAACATCCGACATTCTCCTTGTACCGATACCCCGTCTCTTTTAACAATGACGCTCCATCACTCGGAAAACTCTTCTCTATTATTTAAAAAAAAATCTTTTGATCCTTTGCAGGACCGGTGCCTGCCCCCTCGATACTGACACCGTCCTTCTTCTACAGAAGGGCGTGGGATTGTCTAGGGGCTGGGGGGATTAAAAGCAGAAGAATCCAAAATTCAACATATAATTTTTTCAGCTCCTTTTGAGCTATCTTTCTATCCTTCTTTCCTCTCACCTTCTCCTTCTCCTTTCCTCTCCTCTCTGCTTCGTTTGAAGTTTCTGATATAGAGACCACAGTCCGAATGGATAATTGAACCCCTACGGTCGTGGTCAGTTTCGATTTTTGCAAGCAGCGATCTCCTTTTTCCCTTATGGACTAGTCCGTCCCCCTTTCAATTCATCTCGATGCTTGGCGCTTACCTTCGGTCGATTCGGTTTTTATTTTTATTTCATTTTTTTCATTATTACTCTACATCGTTCTTCTTAAAAAGGGCCATTCAACACCCGAATGTCGGATTTCTTTTTCTTCCATGGGATTAGGGCTTAAGACTAAATTTAAATTGGTTAAGAGAAAAATAAATGCTTAACTGTCTGTCGTTTGCAACACTAAATCTCGAGTGCTTCGAATCATTTTTTTTTCTCTTTTATTGATTGTAGTAGACTTTCAAACACGAGATGGATCATGAGGATGGATCCCATCGCTTGCTGAAGGATCATAAGATAACGAGTTTGGAATTCTTTTTGTGAAATTCCTACCAAGCAATAGGCCTTTACAAGTATTCAGATTCTAGGGTAAATTAGAAACAAAGAGACTCCGAACCAGGACATGCTTTTAGATAATTTGCGGCTTCAGTTCTTGAAGTTCTGCCGACTCCAACTGCATTATGAATTGCGCGTATGGGGGGGTAATTAGCCCGTTCCCAAACCGCCGTAGGTATCTAATTGGAATCGAACTAAAGAAAGAAAGATAGCTGTATTGCATTTGCTGTATAATAATGGTTGTAACAGGCTAATGATAAAACAACTGCCTCTAGCACCCAAAGTAACCACCACACCACAGCATTAGGAAGGGAAGCCCACAACACCGCCTGACCTGACCTGAACTCCGTAACAATGAAAGCAGTTTAATACAAATAACGCTAGAACTGAAGGAATGATGATGGGTTGGTCATAGGGAAGACAAAAAAAAAAAAAAAACCAATCTAGCTTCCTTCGGGCAGAGGTAAAAATCAAAAGCCGGCCATTCACTTCAAGTTGTTTTTCACATTACCAAAGCACGACCGATACCTTGCACCGCCCAGGCAAATGGTTTGGCAAACCAAAGCATCCAGCTCCCAACAAGAAGAACGTAACTTGCCGCACGTCCAACGACCAATGCCCCGAACCCGAGGACAAAAAGGTACAGAACGGCCTGGAGTAGTTCCATCAAGAAACCACTGATGGCCTTGTCGTTTTTGGCCCGAGGCCATTTACCTGTTGCTTGGTAGTCTGAGATAACCCGATATACACGAGTGAAGACGCGGTAGCAGTGCCGAGCCATGTTGTAAACATTGTTTATCAGGACCTTTGCGTATTGGCTGTCGGTGCCGTTGTGAACGGCCTTGTGCATTTGAGTGATGGCCATGACGATGATTTCGAAAACCATAGAGAGGGCTAGGGCATTGGCGCCTTCTTTGATGGATTCGTTTTTATTTCCTGGATGCAGTCCCTCGCGCAAATCATCACAGACATCCGTGATGTTGGGGTGAAGGTATCTTTTGGTTTTGGAACCGGTTACCTGATGGCCATCCAATTCAGCGATCTCCTTCTCGTCGATAGGCTTGTCTGCGAGATTCTCCGGATTCGCACCTCCAGCCATTCTAGTTGCCCGTCGTAAGCGTGCCTCTTCCTTGAATCTCTCAAGTCTTTCTGCGCGTGCCAGTCTCTCGGCTATGAGACGCGGATCATCCGCCGAAGGAGACGTTTCTCTGGAAGACACCCTGGCCCTCTGTGGTGTTGGTGTTTTCTGGCGTGGAGGACTGCTCTGGCGAGGAAGTCTCGACTCACGGGGAGGAGTTATCTCTTGCGGAGGTCCTTTGTCGATAGAAACGCGCTTCGCGGCTGGAGAAGATCTTTTGGAAGGTGACGGCTTGGCGGAGCATGGTGGTGTGTCCTTCACCGAAGATAACGCCGACCTGAAAGACCTCTCGGACCGTGAGGATTCTGAATTGTCCCTGGACGGCGCCGAGGTTAGGGATACAGGAGATCCCTTGCGACTGCTGAAATAGAGAGACCCATTGGCATTGCGGAAGGACTCTGCTCTGTTACGCAGGGACTCGGTGCCATTGCGTAGAATTGTCGCCAGACTGTCGGTGGGAGACCTAACGATGCCGCCTGACCGTCCTAGTCCGGAGGTACGGATGAATCCACGGATGGAGCTTGCTGGTTGATTGCTGTTTTTTCTCTTGGTCGTTCTTGGCCTTGGTTTGATTTTCTTTCGACGGGGTATCTTCCAAATGAGTCTCTTTTGTGGGCGTTTCCTTGAACTGAGCGTCTTTGGAGGGTGTTTCTTTGGACGGGGTTCTTTTGGATGGAGTGGTTCGGGATTGGGCGTCTTTTTTCTGGGGGGGCTTGCTTGGATGTGGGAGACTCCTTCGGGTTGGGGATACTGCTCAGGGACGCTGTGGTTTTGGATGATGGTATTGATGGAGTTATCGATTTCGTCTGCGAGGCTCCTCCGGCTGGTCGCAACCCAGAAGGTGTGGAGACGACTTGAGCCTTTGCCCGGACGGCCTTCACGGCCTCGCCTGTGCCCGACTGGCCAGTACCACCGGGACGTCGCAACCCTTGGGTCTTGAGATTGAGGGACTTTTTCTCCGAGACCGAGGAAGGGAGCATTGTACGGGTGACAGTGGGTGTGATAATGAACACATCGTCTTCTCCGCGAATGTCTTCGGGATGCTCCTTCGCGCTCTCGAAACTCGGTCTCGGATGGGTATTTTCTTTGCTCGACCCTTGGGAGTCCGCTCTCTCGATCTCGTGATCCGAGCAATTGGGATCCTGACACAGGCTCTTGGATGACAGCTTCCAGCATTGGGCATGCTTCGAATTCTGAGAAATTTCTGTCCACTCTTCTTGAATGGCATTGGTCCCGGCCTCTGCTTTCTGCTGCTTCTGATACACAGCCGTCCGCGTCTCTTCCTTTGGCTTCTTCTTTCCTCCTATGGCGAGAGGGCGAGGTTGAAGATTTTCGGCCTCTTGAGCGGACGAAAATAGAAGAATTTCGTCTGGATTTTTGGCGCCGGGATTGATTTCCTTGCAGCCTAAAAAAAGAACCATCGTTCCCTGGACGTTTGTCTCGAGGTTTCGATGGAGAAGACTCTTCCCATATGGTGCTGATCCTGTTCTTGCCAATTTCTTCCGGGCTGTAATAGTTGTTTAGATGCGCCGGAGATAGGGAGTTTTGGGGCTGAGAAGATGTCGCTTGCTGTCGATCCGTTTCTGGTTGGGACTGAGATGGCCGACCATTGTAAGTCTTGAAGGTCTCTGTCCTTTGCTCCGGCTGTGGTTTTTGAGGTGGTTGTGAGCTGTTATCCCTTTCTGCAGACACATTGCGTGAGCTGGGAGCTGCACTGATATCAGATACTCGACCTCGACGACGTTCTCGTTTCTTCCGCTCTATGCTCTTCTGATATTCAGAAATTTGCTGAGTAGTCATAGTAGGTGGGTTCGGATCTTTCGCAGAAGGCATGTGAACAACAAATCTGTCCTCCCAGTCTGCCACTGATTCGCCCGGTGAGACTGGTGATATCGATGACTGAGAGTCTAAGCCTGATTTTGTGGTTTCGGATCTTCCTGGCGTCTGATAAGCGTTGGCGGAATCGTGATCGGTCCATTGTTTCTTGCTTTCTGGATTGACAGACAACTTTTGACGTCCACCATGCGCAGTATTTCTGTTGGCCGGCGGGCTCGGAATACCGGAGCGACGAGCGCGGTTAGCAGGCTTATCCTTATTCGGCTTCTTCGCATTTGAAGGATCCGGAGAGCCATTCTGGTCACTGTTTCTGGACCGAACATAGGATGACCTTTGAGACAACGGGGATGAGTCTTTCTCAAATCGATCCCTCAATCTTTTCCATGTGTGTTCTCGGCTGCGGTCTCCTGATTGAGTAGGCGGGCCCCCAGATCCACCGGAGGAAAAGGTTGTCGATGATGGTTTCGGGATTGCGGTAGGGCTGGGGGTTTGATTCCTCTGGTCCCTTCCCTTTTCAGAAAAAGTCTTCGGGACTGGGAGCTTGGTTGCTTTTGCTCTGTGAAACATCGTGTCCTCTGAACCTCTGGGCGATGTGGATTCAGCACGATTTTCAGAGAAGTGGTATCGGGAAGGAGAGTTTGCAGAGAGCTCGGTTGCGTAGTCGGCACGGTATGCCTGGTATTGGCCGTGGTTATGAGGTCGAGGTGAGAGGTTCACGAGATGTCCGTCAGGTAGTTCGACTCGGCTTTCGATCTCCATGATGGGCTTAGCAGAGTGGTAGCTAGTAGCTTAGACTTAGACTCCGAAGCCAGGATTGAACCTTTGTTTGGCCCATGCCGTGACAAAAAAGTAGATATCAGGTCTTGTCTTGGTGGTAGAGTGTATGCTAGGAACGAAAGATTGGCGGATATGAGTATGGTCGATGTTCATGCAGACAGGACAAGTGACAGACACAAAATAATCCGCGGGGTCATCTAGCCCAGTCCGGAGTTGAAGGTGATCGTGGTCTCAACGCGTAAGAATACGGTGCTCCCAATGGCTGGGATGGTATGTGATCCGCGATGAGGAATGCCAGCCCCCGCGCCGGAATGCCACCAGATAGAACCCGCCGCCATCTGGTATGACGGGCCGACCGATCGCAGGTTCCTCGTCAACTCGTAAAAATTGCATCATTGGCAATTATCATTGTCAGAGAAGTTACGATGACGGTGAAGATGGGTCATGAGGTGGTCGGCCAATTATAGCGCAAGCACGACTCAGGATGAAGTAGCCCACCAACATTGATCGATCAGCAGCAACACCCGGGAATTACAAGTCTTTGTTCTTGGTCGGCTTTTTTGAAAACGGTTGAATGTAAAGTGAGTTTGACATTCCCCAGAGTGGCAGTTTTGAGAAATCTTCCCGATGGGGATATCAAAACCCTCAACGATATCAAGATTAGAAGTGAATTAGGGCATGGACTATGCAGGGCGCACCCGGTTTTTGGTCATCATTGTCGAACGCATGGACATATTTCTCAGTCCATAATTATTGTGTATTAAATAGGCTGAAAAAGACATGATGTCATTTAAATGATATGCAATTCATGGATTCGTGTTTAGAATCGGCCCGTTTCTCGACGAGTCCCGAGACTACTTGAACCTGGCCTACTGCCTCCGCTCACAGAGGGACTATTAGACCCTGCCGCACTAATGCGCTTGAGTGGACTGGACGGCTTTTTCAAGGGGCTTGTGCCTTGTTCTCTGTAGAAAAAATCGCCATCCCTCTGGAGGCGACGGTCAAATGAAGTAGACGCTGACTTCCTTAAGGGTGAATTGGCGTGCGAGTACACCCCGAGGTTCCCTCCATCGCCTGTACTGGTCGTGGGTTGTCGAAATTGCGGCTGGCGCATACCCGTTCCCCCCGTTCGTACTAATGGAGACTGGTCACGCGATATAACGGGAGTCTGCATCGGTGGGCGAGATTGGAAGATGGATGGACCACCCGAGGCAGATGGAGCTGCGGGTCGCCGAGGAGAGAACCCTTCTGGGTCGACATGTCTGACATAGTTCGGGTTTGGACTAGTCTTAAATCCCCGGTTGATGATAAATGCTGGGGTGTAAGTATCGACCTCATTCGGCACGTCGGGAGTAGATTTGGCCGCATCGACATCGGCAAATTGAGTTCCAACATCTCTCATCAAAGGTCTGGTTCGGGGATGAACATATTTGTTATCGTATTCTTTCAAGACCTCCTTGTGTACCAATGCCGAGTCCTTTGCTTGTTGTGTATATGACACCGAAAGGAAGGACATTTGGACTGAGAGGAGGGCTGCAAGGAAGGCGGTGGTGACAATAGTCACGCTAGGTCGTTGATCAGACAGCTGGGTGGGTAGGAAAAGCATGTAGACAAGGACATGTCCAGGGCTGAATAGGCAGAAAAGCCGAGTGCTGATTGGCAAAGGATCCCACATTGCGACCTCCCATACATCTCTTTGCGCATCGGGGTGTGCTCTCGACTGGGCAGACTCGGTAGACATCGCGTTGGCCAAATATCGGAGAGGGGACGCGGTCATCGGACTCGAGTCAACTCGTACACGTTGGGCCGATGAAGTCGCCGGGGCCTGGTCTATGGGATTCTCAAACATGCGATAGTGTCGCTTGCGATAAAAGGTGTAGAAGGCGTTCAGTGCTGATGAAATGGCGAGGAAGGAGACAATGGATGATGCCTAGCAGAGTGAGAAATCACGCATTAGCTCGAATATTCTTACAAGGTCACAATATCAGTCGTAGACAAGATGCGCAACTCACCAACCAGCTCAGCCAAGGAACGCCCTCCTCTTCACCAAAAACATCGTCGATGGCTTTTCTGCCACTTGAGCGTGCATTTGCACGTGCCACAAGGAATACCACATTCAGCGTGATTCCAATGACTAGGCCCCAGTCCTTTTCCAGTTCATCCAAATCATAACCCTCGATCGTTTCAGATGCCCAAAGCAAAAAGTCCCAAGGGTTCAACCAGCTGCGGATGCGCTCCCCAAGCGGGCGACGACGTACAAGGCGAGGCATGGTTCGCGGGGGGGCGAAAATGGTGTTTCCAAGCAGGAGCTGTTCCTCAGCAGCTTCGCGTTAGATAGAGGGGCGAAACAAAGACATGCAGAGTGCAGTGCAAGCTGTTGGTTGGAGAAAGGACAATGCCACCCGTTGAAAGTAAACAAAATTGCATCAGCTTACGTAACCCCGGTACAGCTCCTCCGCGATAGCGATTAGCGGACAACCTCACCAGCTGGAGCCCCGACTTAGCAGAGGTCTGCGCCTAAATCCTGTTTGAACCTCGGCGTCGAGCTCTTGTTAGTCTTTTATACGCTGTTCATTCTTCTCAACACACATCATGGCTGCCGCCGCCGCGTCTACATACAAGGTACTTGACACTTGGTGCCTCCAACCCCTCCGATAACGTTGCTAAATGGTTACGACTCCAGGACCGGCAATTCCTCGCCGTCATTGGCGATGAAGAGTAAGTCCCTTTCATCTAAATAACTCACCACCGGTTCTCTCTCGAACCCATGTTGACCTCCGAGTTCTAGTTCCGTGACTGGCCTCCTTCTCGCTGGTATCGGGGTATGTCTCCGCTCCATCCAAAGCCTCTCAATAACTCAGAAAGCCCAGGAACTAACATGTATTCGTTATCTCTACAGCACGTAACCGATCCCCCCCGATGCCCAGCGCAACTTTCTGGTCGTCGATGCCAAGACAGAGAACTCCGAGATTGAGCGGGCATTCAAGAGCTTCACCGAGGAACGAAAGGACATCGCTGTAGTCCTGATCAACCAACATGTCAGCCCAACACCTCACCTCCTGCCTCAACCCAACTCGTGGGATACTGACCCTTGTCTCCAGATTGCTGAGCGTATTCGTCACAGCGTGGATACCTTTACCGACCCATTCCCGCCGTCCTCGAAATACCCAGCAAAGATCACCCCTACGACCCCGAGAAAGATAGCGTGCTGAAGCGTGTTCGGCGGTTGTTTGGCGAGTAAGCTCGCACAATGTGTTTATTCGATCTTGCGCGCTTGGTCGCCAAGAGGGTGTCTGATTTTACGTGTTTCGATATAACTTGTTTCGTGTCAAAATATTCCGGTGATATCATTAGTTTCGGGCTTCCTACACCAACTGCAAGAACTGGGAATAACGGGGTGTGACCAGAAGTTCTAGAGGGGAGATACCCAGCATGTCTGAAAATGCATATACAACCGTGACCTCAATATATCCGGGTCCTGATCTACATCTCTGGCTTGTCGTAGAGTTAGAGTTTCCCATACTACTACTAGTGCTAGGTAGACATAGTAGTAGTTTACATAACTAAGTAAGCTAGAACATCGCCGTGGGGAAAAGACCGATATTACATGTTCATTTGGCCATGAGTTGTATATGAGTTCGGAGCTCAACCGAAAATAATGCGAAGTAAAGATAAAACATAATGTATAGCTAAAGACAGTGGGGCTTGGAAGACGTTGGGAATCGCATCAAATAATAACGAAATGAGCAATAGTCGTAAGGAAACATGGACGGGGGCGTTTCTGGCATGGGAAGGTTGAGGCGGGTCCTGGTGGTTTATTGAACAGACAAGAGGCCACCCTACAGGTGGATGCAATTACGAGACCCGAGCAGATCTATCGTGAGATCAAAAATGGAACTGGATGTCATCAGCCTTCAAGCAGGTGATTTTCTTCTGGTCCTTGGTGTAGACATCGGCCAAGACCGAGTAGAATCCCTGAAGTATATTCGTTAGCAGTGCTTCGCTGGTTGCCCAATCTTCAGTTGTTACTCACAGGGGGAATCGCTTGCGGTAGCTTCACATCCTTGGTCAGGGTCATGGGACCTTTCTCCAGAGGACATTTCAGGTCAACTTCTTTAATTTGTTCACAGAGGTCGACAGTCTGCGAGATAAGTGTTATGAGACCCCATTTAACGACTAGGGCCACCGTGGCGCCCTCCTCGATAGTTTCGGACAGTACACCACTGGCAGTGATGGTAAGAGTTGCACCCCTGTAGTGAAAGAAGTATGTAGTTAGCCAGATGTACTATGTCAGGGCATAGTTTTCAAGGTTGACGTACGGCTTAGGAGGGTTGGGGTCCAAATCAACTGATTTGATTTCCAGGATATTACCAGCCGGGTTCTCGCAGTAGTTCAGGGGTTGTCCCCCTTGACGGGGAAATCCTGAGTGGTATCGACCTTGAGGGTGGCCTGTGTGGGGTCAAAGAGTGACGGGAGGGGAAGCCGCCGAGACGAGCGGAGAAGCAAGAAGCAGGGTGGCAACTGATAAGAACTTCATGTTGGCGATGGCGGCTCGTGGGTAGCCGTGACAGTACAAAGTCGATCAAGAATATGTGTGGTTCGGGCTCTGAGTGTGTTCGGTACTCAGAGAAAGAGGTTGAGCAGGGAAATAGAGCGGGTTGGAGATTGGAGATGCAGGTCGAAGTCAAGGCTGGGGGAGTCACTTGATGACGACTGGATCACGTGCACTCCGTTTCAGGTATAGATCGCTTGGCGCCTTCCAAGGTTTGTCGTACCTTGCAGATGCAGTGTTGACTACTAGTGTACTTAAATGGGCATATGTATAGTCTGTTAATTCTATGATAAAATAGTATGCCTTTTGTCAAATCCTTGGAAGTGTCCTAACTTCACCAGTCCATCCCCATATGCAACCCAATGAGCATGTTGACCCACCCTTCGCCGATTGTTTATCAGTGATCCGCAGTAGTGGGCCAACCACTGTAGTAGGCTTTCAGGTTGATTATTTTTAATCGCATCTTCTTCGCCTGAGATTGAAAGGGTACAGATTCAAGGGAATAGTTCAAGCATGAATTGCAATTTTATCTTTATTCAACATCCACGCTTTATTCGACACCTCAGACCCGTGGACTCGAAGTATCGTGATATATTCAAGGCTCTACTACTAACTACTACTAACTAGTAGTAACTTGAACTATCAGCTTGAGCTTCTGAGATTATCTCAACTCACAGTATAGGACTGCCCACTGGAAGGTGGTAAATGGCATAGAAGTGCTCTTACCAGTTCATAGGTTTACTAATCCTCAAGCTTCATGTTGAATCCAATTGAAGTACTGGGTAAATCATTCAATGGCAACGGAGGTCGTGCATTGCCTACACCCCGACGTTAAATGACAGCAAACCAAACACCAAAACATCTACATTCTCCATTTTAGGGGGGGGGGGGGACTTTCGTATTCAACTGCGGTCCCCCGACTGTCCATCTTGGTTCCACGAACATTCATGAGCTTCCCCGTATAATTCGATCCTTTGGCGACACCGAATAACCTCAAATGAACCGTCATTTCCCGCAACGACTTCCTTTGACTATTGCCATAAATGAAAGCCTGGTTATAATTAACTTTTGGACAGCTCACTTCACCTGACTTCCTTTATCAAAATTTCGATTATCCAAGTCTGATGCTATTTGTCTTTAAAGCCCATATGCTAAGCGACGAAAGATACCGCAAGTCAAAGTTGGCGTGCTTAAGATGACGCTAGACTTTCTTGGGTAGCTTTTAGAGAAGTCCTTCGCTATCATGATTTCTTGTGTTTGGGATGTGTTTTCGGTGTGGAGGGCTGCTAAATGGACCACCCTTTTTGCTAAATGGACCATGGGCCCTTCTGAATCCAGATTAGTATGTAATCTCCATATAACTTTGGTTCCACTTAATCTACCTCGATAGCGCTGCAACGATTTCTAGTCCCTTGTTGACCTCTCTAGTCTCCGACTTTCTATGGCAATATATTCTATCCTGTATAGGTACTGGTCTGATATTAGTAATTTAGAAGACAGTAACTAACTAATAGTAGGAAATAGACAATTGGAAACAATTCTAGTGTCAATATTCAAATTTGTATGGAGATTACATACTAATCTGGATTCAGAAGGGCCCATGGTCCATTTGGAAAAAAGGGTGGTCCATTTAGCAGCCCTCTCGGTGTGACTCGTCATAGGAAATTCGCCATAGAAGACTGGCCTAACGCCGACTCCTGTACACAGACCCACATGTCTCATTCCCCATTGAGGTTTTGCAGACTCACTGGAACACGGCGGAGATCTCTCACAAGAGCAGATTTATACGAGCTATGACGCAGACAACATACAGTGGAGGGTGGTAATAATTGTCTGCTTCTTGATTTTCCCCGGTTATTTGGATAGCTGGATGCTATAGCTTTGATAGCTAGAGAGCCGTAGGTCGGAATTTAGTTTACAAGGAGGGCCAGGACCTTCAGCCACAAACGCCACCTCCAAGAAATCGAATGGAACCAGGTTGCATTGAAAACTTATACAATAATATCTATTTGTATCATTGGGGGCCATCGCTAAAATTGACAGAACGAAAACAGCAAACGGGCGTACTTCAATTTATTGAGAATTATCATCCATTCATTGGGAATACCACATCACTCGCAGAGAAATGACATTAGACTCCAGAGAAGATACTTACAAGAAAAAAATTATGACGTAGTGAAGAAAAGAAGCGTTGAGACTACTCCGTACACTAACGATGTGGCTGTTTAAACCTTGAACAGCGTACTCCGTAGCAATGGCTAAGCGATCGACGACCGTTCAAAATTGATAAAAATAAGAACAGGGGTGAACCTATCAGACAGGACGGCCTTTTTACCAGAATATTTGTTGACCCAAGCCACTCCACTCCACCCCATATCGTATATCGTTATAGGTCAACCCTGAAGACATTGTGGGTCGGGCACCGAAGAACGACCCTGACACTAAACCTCCTCAGGAATGGATTTGCTCAGTCCTCTCGATCAGCCCGGTAGCTCTCCGGTGCATTCGGCCCTAGTTTCAGATGCTCCAGTCGCATGGGGAAATTCACGGGATGGTCAATCCGGTTGAACCCAGTACCAGTTTTTTCTTTCAAGTTGGGTTGACCCTCTCTCTTCGTTTTGTCTCTCAGACATAGCCCCTGTCTCTAAATTCGCTGGGGTAACGGAACCGATGATGAACCACAAGGAAGAATACCGACTCTCATATGTTCCGCTGGAGGATGAGCGTCACAATTACCGACAGTCTCGACAGAGGCCGCTGTCCTCTGCAGAGCAGGTCCTTCTTCAATCGAATACAAAGGGATTCTGGGGTTCAAGCTGGACCTTTGAAATTATAGGATCTATAATTTCCATTGCATTTTTGGTTGGAATCATTGTGGTTCTCTTCAAGTATGATGGACAACCAATGCCTGACTGGCCTTATGGCATAACACTCAACGCCCTGATCTCGGTGCTCAGCACGGTCATGAAAGCTTCGATGGCATTTGTCTTGACAGAATGCTTGGCTCAATTAAAATGGTCTTGGTTCCACAGTGGAAACAAGTTGAGTGACCTTGCGCTTCTGGATGCAGCCAGCCGTGGCGTTGCGGGTGCTTTTTTTGTTTTATTTCGCTTCTTACCGCGGTGAGTTCATGACCCAAGACCGTTCAGCCTCTCGTACTGACAAATATTAGCCATCTTGTCACTTTCGGATGTCTGGTTCTAGTCATGGCCGCTGCCACAGACCCATTCGTCCAACAGGTAATGGCCGTGAAAGAACGATCTGTTCACGCCCCCGGACAAGCATCCATCCAAGTCTGCAATTCGAGCCTCTACACGGATTACGGCGAGGGTCCTTCTCCTGGAATGAACAAGGTCCTCCTGGGAACTTCAGGCGCTATTTACTCGGGTATCTTTCAAACTCAAACTCCAAACAGCAAATCCATCATGATGGAATGCCCAACAGGAAACTGCACATTCCCCACATACCAATCCCTCGGGTTTTGCAGCAAATGCGCCAACATCACCGACTCTCTCAAGACATCCCCATCTTCCAACTCGATGACGGGTGAAACCAAATTCAAACTGCCAAACGGATTCGAGTTTACTACTTCGCTAAACATGCCCTACCTGATAAACTCCACAGCACTACGACCCCTCGTGAAACTAGACACGGAGGGCATGGCAACAATCGTTAATTTCACCGCCATCGCTGGACAAGGATACGGCGGTTCAATCAGCGCAACTGAATGTGCTCTTTACTTCTGCGTTAACACTTACGAGGCTTCCGTCCGCCAGGGAAAATTCGTCGAAACCACAACCGCTATATCAACAACCTCCAATGCCTCGTCAAATCCGATGGATAGCTTAATAGACGTGACTCTAACTCCTGAAATTTGCTATTCCAATGGCACCCGACACGAAAAGCCATACAAAAAGGGATCTAATTGCACATTTGCGGTAAATGCATTCAGCAAGCTCGCGATGGCCAATTCCCTAAAACCACTGCTAAAAGGCAAAGCGTCACGATTTATGAGCAACCGACCTGATTACTCATCCGATACTATCGAAGCCCTCTACGGCATGCAGGGGAACTACACGGACATCAATTCAGTCTTTCAATCGCTCGCCTCGTCATTGACCGTCAACGCACGATCGAAAGTTTGCGCTGCGCCTGTGAATGGAACGGCCTGGACCGATCAATCGTATGTGCGCGTTCGGTGGGAGTGGCTGATCTTGCCTGGTGGCTTGGTTGCGCTCAGCTTGGTGTTCATGATCATTACGATCATCCACACGCGGAACCAGTATATTTGGAAATCGAGCCCTTTGGCGCTTCTATTTTCTGATTTGCAGGTTGATGCGGCTAGTACCCTGAAGCCGGATCCGACTCTCAAAGGGATGGAAACTACATCGAGGAATATGCAGGTTTGGTTAGAAACGACTGCGGATGGGGTTCGATTGAAAGCTGTTCAGGACTGATGTGCGAGGTGAAGCCTGGCAAGATGTAACTATATTGTACATATATTGGAAATATTTTCTTCTTTGATCAAATCTTACGGTTTCATACGCTTCATTGCATTTTGTCTGCTCACCTTACAGGCAGGCTTAGTGAGTACTGGCCAAAATTTGTAATTAAAAATGAAAATAACCCACTTTGATATACAGTTGGCTTGCTCTCTGCCGGCCAATTGCTATGAACTTGAATGCCCTTCCATGCTTGCTTATTTGATGATGCTGTCTTATTTACTGGGAGTGAAATTGGCGCTATGGCATTGGCGGCCACTCCTTTTTTCTTACTCAGCGAGGCCAATAACTATCTCCTTTTTGTGGGGTAATCTTTCTTCACTTATACTCGTTATTTACTCTGCTCAACGCATCACAATACAGTATATGCTTGCTACACAAATGAAACGGTGATGATCAAGTTTGAAAATGGAGCAAAAAAAACCAAGAAGGAAATGGGAGAATCAAATTTTCGTATGCCTTTATGGTGACGTTAGTTCCCGCAGAATGTCAACATGCAGCCAGTGGATACAGGTGTTAAGAACCCCAAACCCCTAGTTACTGCAAGCCACTTCCTCTCTTAGCCTGCTTAGTTATCCATACGACTCTGCAGAGAAAACTACACAGTGGACAGTGCAAATATGCAACCCCAATCCCTGCAGGCCTCGGGGGGGGCCAAAATGAATTGGGCTATCACGCCATTTGCACAGAATTTGCCAAATCAGTAGGATACCGTAAATTCCACCAACACAGCACATCGAGATTTATGCAACACGCTTAGAGGTGTATCGAGCTCAAACCCAACAGAACCATGTTAAAAAATGTCGCAAAATAATCGCCGCAAGGGCCACATCCCAGGGACCCTAGTCTTAAACTGGAAATCCGGAGAGGCACCTAACGGCAAATCATCGACCAGAAGACCCATGACTGCCTGCGAGGCATGTCGCACAGCTAAAGTCAAATGCGATGCACAACGAGATTGCAGTCGCTGTAAATTGCGCGGCTTGGGGTGTCGCTATATCACCCGTGGCTCGGTAGCGAACAATGAGCCCAGGCTGGATTTTGCGGGTTGTAGCCAAGCAAGCCCCGTACAAGAAGCAGTTCATGGGCTTTCTGACCCCTCCAGCAACATTGATTCTGGGTTCCTGGATGACCTGTCTTTACACAATGCGTCGAAGGCAATGGAATGGGGGGAAGATGCGTTCAATAAAGCCCTTGAACAGTTCGACTGGGTATTTCCCGATGACAACATAGATGTAAGATCTCCGGATGGCCTTCACAATTACATCGTTTGACTTGAAATTTATACTTACCGAATTGAAGACATCTGATCTGCATAGGGAGAATCTTCTGGAGGACCCGATCTGTATTCCCGAAAATTACGATCAAAGTCCGAATACTTTAGCTCTCCCCGACTTAGTCTCGCTGCCTTCAGTATCAAGTCACGAAAATACCTCGGCGTGCCAGTGTAGGATGGATCTTATCGCGCATGTGCCACTTTTAGAAGACATCATGCAAGAAAAGCCCAAGCCACGCTTAGATGCAATGCTCAAAGTCACCGAGGATGTCACTGCGAGCTGCCAGTCTGCCATCAACTGCAAACGATGCAAGATCGGGCCTGTGGATCTTGTTTGTATTGTGACAGTGTTCCAGCAAACCGCTGCATGCTTCGATCACATTGCGAAGTCAAGCCTCGATGGCAGTATGAAAGTCGGCGTCGGCAGCTATGAGGTTTCTCTGACGGACGATATTACGTTCAAGCGCATGCTGGTCATGAACCATATCAAGCAAGCCAACACATTATTGGATTCAATGAACATCTTCTGCCAAAATCTGTGCTTGTCGCAAGATGGTCTGCCGCGCAACGTGATGAATCGCTCTCCAGCCTGCCTCAACCAACTCAATTTGAATTATGTCAGGGAGGTTACTACAAATTTCCGGACTTTCTTTCGGTTGATAACAGACGTGTTTGAAGAGTGAAAATGGCGTCATATTTGTCGATTTAAGAGAAAATATATGTAAGGACACTGGGGGTGAGAGTATTCGATGGCTGGACTATTCAATCTTTTTTGCATCTCAGGGAATCGGACTTCTAGAATCGTTGATCCACAGTCTCACGTAGTTTACCAGTTCTAGGATTATGATACAAGTCCTTGACGTCAATCCACCCGACCGCGAGTGGATTGATATAACCTGCCGCCAGGCCACTGGCATACTGCGTTGTGTGTGTTTTTAGAGCCTTATCGAGGTTCTCATAGCCCTCAGCCCGGTTAGTCCCAAAGCCTGCGATCCAAAATACTAGCTCATCCTTTCCGTTTTTACGCCGCGCCACAGTCTGGAAGCCCTGGATATTATCGGAGCCTAAGGTTTTCACAACAATTTCGCGAAGATGTCTGAAATCATATGAGGCAGGGCCGATCTTAAACCCAATCAAATCACGTCCACGAAGGACAAATTGCTTGCGAGAAAAGTCAACCCATTCGGCGACATCTCCTGTTGGATATCGGATGATAGGCATCAGTCGTCTGGAGAGATCCGTAACATGGAGAATACCTCTTTCTTCCTCATTGGTAATAGGTTTCCCTCCTTCTCTCAAAATCTCGGCCACGACATTCGGGGAATTTGGAACATAGACAGGTGCACCAGCGCGACTTTCGAGATCAGCGTCATGCGTAGGGATGGCAATCAGACCACCATCCACGGATCCATACATCAGAGGTCTGACAACGACATTAGGAAAAGCTTTGGCCAACAACGCCGTTTGGTCGCTGAATAGACCTTCTCCGCTATACACTAGCAAATTAACATCTGGTAGCTATTCTCCACGACTGATGACATATTCCGCAATCCAAATTAAAGTTGTGGTCATGCCCATCGCGACCGTGACTTTGAATTCTCGCAGAGGCCACACAGTGGCTTCGATATCAACGACTCCACTGATAGGAAGCTGGAAATATGGTACATTGGTATCCAGCCACGCAAGCAGCTGGATCAAAAAGCCCATATAGAGCTCACCATTATAGTAAAGATTTGCCACGCGATCTCCTGGCTGGAGTCCGGCGTGAATTAGAGTATCGCCTAGCTGGCGAGTGATGCGGTGGAGCTCGTCGCGAGAGTAGAAGGAGACCTTTGGGTCTGATGTCGTCCCTCCCGTACGGAATATTCTCTCCATCTAGGACTGTGCCAGTCAAAACTCGATTGTCGGATATAGAGCTAGTGTTGGCAGACCAGAAACTAGTATGGTCGATCGCTAGGATGGTCACTATATTCCAGTACTGAGTTATGTGCCGACCTCCGACACTTCACCTAACTCCCGGCCTGTTCTAGTGTACTTGCACTTGGGCGGATTTCTGTTTGGCGACCTGGAAAGCGGTGATCTCTATTGTCGTGTTCTTGCTTCACGACTGGATCTGAGTATCCTCAAGGTCGATTACCGTCTGGCACCAGAGTGGCCGTTTCCCCATGGTGTGAATGACAGCTATGATGCCGTAGAATGGGTGAGTATATGATTGCGAAAAATGGAGATTTTACGTACCTAGGTAGAGATAGTTACATATTAACACCCTACCACATGGGCAGACCGCAAAACATTCAAGAGAAGAGCTGAGGGCTTCTCCAGTCGCCGAATTTTTAGTCTGAGGCATAACGTCCGATGCTAATTTTGCCGGTGTCATCGCATACACAGCCCGAAACGCCGGCCTTTTGCCTCCGATAACTGGTATTTTCATCTCCATTCCTGTTGCCTTGATGCCCAAGGCCCATGGGTTGCTATCAGATGAATGGAGAGAGCAACTGCTTAGCTTGGAGCAGAATGGAAACGCACCATTTTTGACGCAGGGATCATTAGCTCAAATTGAGGGTGAGTTGATATGCTCCAAGCTACCACGTAGCTCACTGTCTCTCAGTACACTGATACCAATTATGGCTTCTAGAGGCCTATGGAGCTCCAGCAGATGATCTCCGAATATCATACCTGCTAAATGAAGACCATGGACGCCTTCCGACCCGAGCTTATTTCCAGATCTGTGGATTGGATCTGCTTCGTGACGAGACGTTCTTGTGGGAGAAATTATTGGCAAAACATTCTGGGACGCAAAGCAAGATTGATCTGTATTCCGGACTGCCTCACGGGTTCTGGCGCTTCTTGCACTCGAAGGCTAGCTCAGATTGGTTAGACGACCTGATTGAAGGGTTCCGCCTTTTGCTTCTGGCTAATGAGGGATCAAGAGTTGCAGAAGAGGCAAAATTAAATGTCAAGGGTCTTTAACCAGAAGAAAAAAATCTGGTATTTGAGGATTCAAAGAAATGGCAAAGTGTCGAGACTAGGCTTTAAGGCCGCTTTTCCGCGTCTCCGTCAGCATGAGATTCCAGACCATGAAACCTCACAGACTCCGCGGAAACTACTCAAGTGAAACCACAGATATAAATTCGGCTTTTTCATTTAGTCCTGTCCCAAGAGCACTGCCTAGTTGAAACATGATCCAATTAAGATATGCAACCCCGATCGTATGTGAATAACCTTGGAAGTTTTCAAGTACACATAGCCTCTGCTAGCAACCATTCTTCAATCAAAATCAACGGAAAATCTCAGCCGCCAGTCCTCCCCAACTTTGCGGAACAGCAATGGCAGACATCCCAGTACCAATACAACAAAACCTAGGACTGAGTTTCCCCAACCGAGTCCAAGCCTGTCATATATAGGAACACCGGCAAGTGGAAGCAAAGCACCTGCAAGGCTTCTGAGTATACTGCTTGCGGCAATTGCACTAGCAGAATATTTTGTGTACGCGTCAACCATATATACTTGTGTGGGAATCTTGAAATCTTTTATTAGCAAACAAAGCTGTCCAAAACTCTGATAAAGACACATACGAAGGTGAACATGACTCCAAATCCAACGAAGGCCGTCGCAACGATTGGAACAGCACTATGGACCTTGTAGTAAGCGGTCCAGCCATAAAAAAAGAACCCGATAGGAATCGCAATGGCGCCATATATCAGACTTTCCAGACGATACCTTCGACCTGAGTTAGTAAAGACAAGCGATGTGGGGGACATTTTGCTCACTCCGGCTTTTCCACTCCATGCTTTTTTGATAACCTCACAAATGTCCGGTCACTGATAATACTGGCAATAGTGATTGAAAGCAGCATTCCCCGGCCAATCCCAAGTATGCTAGACCGAGGTTGCCCGCGCTATAATGATATTGATCCTCAAAGACCACAGAGAATGTCGAGAAGAGCAGGTAGGTGAATCCATACACAACGGCAATGTAAAGGGACAAACCAGTGATTAGAGGGCACAAGAAAAACATCTTAAGTGGACGGGCGATGGACCGGCGGTACAATTCAAGCACGGGTATGTCACATTGGCCTTTCGGGTATAAATTGGGATTCCCAGTCGATTTTCGAAGCTTTCTGGCTTTTCGTTGCAGAAGTACTGGCGCGTATGTTTCCTGCCCAACAATGGCACAAATTGCACCGAGGGTTCCATTCTACCCGTAAAGAGAAATTAGCCTTGACCCAGGCAGCCTCACGAGGGGGGTCACGCTTGCCAGCATCATCAGGAGCCAAAATACCCAACGCCAGCCGGCCGCGGCTGCCAAATAACTTCCGGCAATAGGGCCGATAACAGGCCCAAATAGGAAGCCCGTCGAAAATAGCGACATAGCCGCACCGCGTCGATGCGTTGGCACAATGTCTCCGATGGTACCTCCCCCATTATTGATCGAACAGGAAGCAGCACATCCTTGTAGAAAGCGAAGTGCGATGAGTGCGCCCATGTTTCGTGTTAGGCCGCATCCCAAGGAAAATGCACAAAATCCTACATTGGCAATGTTATAGATGTGTCGGCGACCAAATAGCTCGGACATGGGCGCCATGATCAATGGACCCACAGCAGTACCCATAAGCTATCTCAGGGATCAGCGAGACCGAAATCATCATTGGTATTTTTGTAACTCACTTCAATTGTGACTACAAGCGTTCCAGCTTGATCGTTGTCTGAATTAAATTCTCTCATGAGCTGGGGAACAGCGGGTGCTATAGCGGAGGATGCCAGAGATCTTTGTTGGTCAGCTGTTGGTGGTCGCATCGGAGAGAGAAGTACTACTCACGTTGAAAAAACAATCGACATAATTGTGGCAAAAATCAAACTTCGTCGCCATACAGGCCAGTTACGCGGGTTCTCGGGGTCGTCAGGTCCCTCCCAATCCACCTCGTTTGGGTTGAGGGCATCTTCACTAATTGTTAAAGATGGTTTGGCATCCATGTTGAGTTTCGGTTCCCTGCTAGTGCTTTCTGCTATGCTATCATTGGGAGGTGAAGAGGTCAAAGTTGACTGGTGAGGTTATCTTGTCAGGTGAGCTTGCCATTGGGAAAGGTTGGGAACTTACATCTTTCTGTGCTTCGGCATCGATCTTTTCTGTCTGGACTGTCATTTCCAGTACCAATTAATATGTTTTGAATAAGTGAAGTATAGTATGTCAATTCACGTTGGGGGTGCCCGTGACTATTTACTACGTGTACGGAGAATTCAAGCAAATTATTACCCGATTAGGCAAATCATATCCCGACGCAAGACAAAAAGACTAGGGCTCAGTTGCATTCTTCAGATGATCAGCAATACGACTGAGCTCCTGCTTTAGTATCTTGCCGCTAGAGTTCACTGGTAAATGATCTGGTACTCCTGTACCATCCCCAATCCAAAATACGTGCTCTGGGATTTTGAAGGCGGCCAGCCGAGTTCGCAGCCAAATGCAGATATCCTTGCTGCCAATCTCGCTTCCCACTCAGCGGTCAATAAATGCTGCAGCAGTTTCTCCCCAGCGAACGTCTGGTATTCCGACTACTGCCGCTGTCAAGATGTCGGGATGAAGTTCAAGCACTTGCTCTACGTCGCGAGGGGCAATGTTTTCACCTCCTGTTACAGAGCAGCAATGGTTAGTGAAAGGACACTTTAGAGATTGATTGAGCTTCACCTTTTTTGATCATGTCCTTTAATCTTCCCATGACGGTTCACGCCCCAGAGGAGCTCAGGGTCACGATATCACCAGTTCGCATCCATCTTAGTCCTCGAGAGTCGACAACCAACGCTTCTTTCGTTTTCTTCGGGTTCTGATAATACCCCTTGAAGACCAGGTATCCAGAAATAAAGAGTTCACCACGAACACCGGGTGGTAGGGCTTTGAGGTCGCCGTCTACTACCTTTGCTGATATATGCGGCAACAGCGTGCCAACCGACGAGCAATCGTCCAGCAAAGAAGTATCCGCGGGTGTTGTCATGAAGCTCACGGCAGAGAGCTGTCATTCCTGTTATTAATTTTGGATCGTCAGCTACCGAATTTGTTTGCGAGGTTGTTCACGGAAATTCTTTATTACCAAATGCATAGGCGAGTCCGTCCAGTCCGAGCTCTGCCTGAAGTCGCCGCAACAAAGTTTCGGAAAGGCTGGAGCCAGCGATGATACCAGTCCTCAGTTTGAGCCTTTTTGTGTAACTTTGAGCTGCAGCAAAATCCATCAGAGCCTGAAATATGGTTGGAACTGCGTGGATGACTGTGCATTGGTGTTCACTAATGGCCCGAAGACTTGCGTTGGGGTTGAATACATCTGAAGGGATAATAACAGTGCCCCCATGCGTGATTGTTGCAAGAACACCACAGACAAGTCCAAAACAATGCGAAAGAGGAAGGGAGCAGCACAATACATCTTCAGAAGACATGTTGAGGCGATGTCCCAGAAGGTCAGCGTTGTTAAGAAGGTTTCTGCTTGGTGATTAGATGCAATCACAACTTTCTAACGACATTTATGTACATGATTGGAGAACCTTACCGGTGGGCTAACATAGATGCCCTCCTAGGACCTGTTGTACCACTTGTGAACTGGATGCATAGCGCATCGTTTGGATCAACCTGACCCCAGTACCTGTCAATCAAATTCTCCTTGACATTCAACCCAGATAGGCGAAAACTTGTCCAAGTCAAAAGGTCACCATAGCTTTGTGCGGATCCAACAGGCCACATAATGAGTTTCCCGTGTCCTGAATTAGCTTAACGTTCAGATATTCATTCCAGCAACACTCGGTTACTGCGATATCCGATTCTTTCTGCGACGAAGCCAGCTGCTGGGTCTGGAAAAGATCAGCCAGTGGACAAACGAACTCCACCATTGAGAGTAAAACTTACCAAGGAAATCCACAGCAACTTCAACTTCTTCCACTGTGAATGAGGAATTGATGATCGCAAATATCGCTCCGATACTTCCAATAGCAAGAAAAAGCTGGACGTATTCAATACTATTTCCCGCTAACACGACAATGCGGTCCCCGTGACGAACTCCTAGACCCAGCAGGCTTCTGGCGATATCTCGAACGGAATGAATTAGTGATTCGTATTGAAGTGTGGAGGAGTTTTGCCATTCAGATACCACTGCGACATTTTCACCACGACGCTCTCTTTGCTCATTGAGAAGTTGTGCGGTGTTGATATTTCTCAGCGGCGGTGAGTTCTGCCCTTGAAAAATAAACTCTTCATCTTCGCCGATTCTTTCTCTCGCCAGATAGAACGAAGAATGCTTCGTTAATAGTGGATAATGTGCCATGGGGAATGAAAGTACCCCTGGTCCGGTCGTGATATGAAAACCGGCTTCGGTGAACCACCCGCACTCAAGTAATTATATCTGCCAGTGGACATTGAGACCTCCAATTTGTCCTATTTGCTCGACTCATTCATAATGAAAGATTCACGTCAGATGATGTGCTCGGAGTTGAGATTTCCTGTTTGGGCCAGGACCGGAGTATTGATTCCTTCTGGGGTATGGCGACAGACAAGCATGAGCAACCCGACAGAATACCAGAAATACTTGATTTGAGCATAGTTTAATATTAACCAATCCAAGAATAAAATACTGATCAATTTAATGATACCAACTTACGACCATGTCAGTTTCAATACTTCGTCGCGCCGAGACTGTGACTCTTGTCAAGGGAGGTTGGCCACTGCCAGAAGCTGAAACCCCTGCGCAGCCGTCTATTGATCTAAATCTTCTAGAAAAGATTAGAAATCTCTGGGCCCAGGTCCTCAATGAGAATGCTGACAAGCAATGAGACCAGAAGACCACGGTTTCCAAAATCTTAAATCGGCTGCACCTAGAATAGGAAAGCCCCACATGGATTGCACGGGAAATATGTTACGTATAGTTAGGTAGTGACCAAGGTTCTAGTACTATCTAGCCAACTAGACAATATTTATTATTTATCACTGATGAGTAGGTCTGTGCCAGAGAAAGCATTAGCTCAAGTACCAACTCTGGATGTCGCAAAATGAAGACTCCAGATTAGTTCACATTCAAGATAGAATCGGGCGTTGTAATTCCAAATGCACCATTTCATTTGTCATAGAATGAACACCTGTTGCATTCTGCATTGGGATCACATACTCCTTGACTCCTGCCTTGTGAACACGACCGTTGATCATAATTATATTCAACCGATCATGGTCCTGCAGAATAGAAATATCCTTCAGTGGATCCCCATCAACTACAAGACAGTCTGCATAATTGCCCGCTTTGATCTGTCCCATTTCGTGAGAGCGCATGAATAACTTAGCCATGCCATAGGTTGCTGCGATGATCGACTCATGTGGTGTAAAGCCAAATCGATCGACAAAATGCGCCAGGTCGCGCGCATAGGTGCCATGTGGTGTCCATGCAAATCCAAAATCGCTAGAAATCAGAGTCAGAACTGCTCTCTTGTTGATTTTGGAAAAAAGAAATTGAAAGAATCACCCTCCAGGGAGGACCACTATTCCTCTTCGATGCATCTCGCGCATGGCACGATCGGCGGCAGTAAGCTCCTTTAGATAGCCTACTTGCTCGGCCTTCTCAGTGGGGTAGCCGAACATCTCGGCGTCGTAGAGGGTGGCGATCAACCAGTTAATAGCGGGTGCCACTACATGCTTCGATTTGTTCCTTTCGAGAGCATCCATTCCTATTATAATCCATGAGCTATAGTCAAACATAATAATGGAAAGTAGCCTACCTTTCTCATCGATATAGGATGCATGATAGATCACATCTACCCCATAGTCAATGCTCTGTTGAACAGAGTCTCGGGCTCGAGCATGTGAGCAGACCCGCTTCTTATGTTTATGGGCCTCGTCGACACATGCTGCTGTCTCTTCTTGTGTGAAGTAGCAATCTTCCGCATCTCGAATCTCCGTGATCTGGTAGAAGTTTGTTAGTTCTCGGCTCCCACGAGGCTAGGCGACATACATACCGACTCTCCAGACATTGAAAGCTTCACTTGGTCGACGCCAATATCGATATGTTCACGGATACTGATTCCTTTTAGCGATTTTTATCCTAGGAAAGCCCCTATATACCGTATAGTAACCTACACTTCTCTCATTTGCGCGGGGCCATCCGCGTAGGCAGTGATTGTTCCGACTAGTTCTCCCCCCGTTCGTGCCATTTCTTGTCCATTGGCAAGAAAGCGGGGTCCCGGAATATCTCCAGCATTGATCGCGTCCCGAATAACGACATCTAAGCGTTTCTTGGCAGATGCTGCTCCGAAACACATAGTGTACCCGGAATCCAGGAAGCATTCAGCGCTCCTCGCAGTGAGGAGCGTATGCTCCTCAACGCCGAGATCACCGAGTCGATCCAAGTCACCCCCATTCCAGGTAAAGTGGGTATGAGAGTCTCCTAGGCCCGGCATCAACGTGCGGCCTTTTCCATAGAAAACACGCACACTGGAATCTGCCAGGAGTGCTTCTTTGTTGGGAACTTTGCCCACATGGGCAAATCTTTGACCTATAGAACATGAGTGTTAATCATATTCCGCCATATAGGTAATGATATTTTATTGGTTGGCCAAATGGTAACTTACCTGCGATGAGGACGTCCCCTCTGTATGGCTCCCGGCCAGTGGCTTCCAAAATTTCCACATCTAGGACCAGAATTTTGGAAGAAGGAGCCGTGCCGGCGATCTCATACTTCACGGGTTGAAGATCCGAGTCAAAGTCTAGCTGGTCGACGTATGCGACATTGCGAGGAGGCCCATCGTAGTTGTCAATAGGGTAGTCCGACGACATCCACGACACAGTGGTCATGTTGAAAAGATGGAGGCGAAAGAGGATACAGGCAAAGCACCGTTTGAATGAACAGGGGAGGCCAACTCCAGGCTAAAACATTGCGAATCATTCATATTTGATTCGTGTTAGCTCTGTAGTAACGACTAACTTCCCCACGATTTGCAGAGTGGGCACCAATCGGGGGCTAACACTCCTTCCCTCTTCTCCGCGCTTCTCCGCAAGTCGCGAATGACCCAAAATTAAGTGTAATGTGCCGCAGACTCTCCCTTTTGACCTGACAATCATCAAGACGTTCATTATGGGTTGGCTGAGTCTCCGAAGCTGGCTTCATGATGGACCGACATCTTTCGAGCCTGTTCCTACATTTCCTACACAGGTCACCGATTTCAAATCCGTCACCGAACACGTCGAAAATGTTGCAACTATTGATCATATCTCCGCATCACCTCCCTCTGAATATCCACTTCAGGATCCATCTGTCCTCGATGATGCTTTGCCTTTTATTCCGCCCGCGATTGTCCGGAACCAGAGGTTACACCTGTCACACGCCAATGGCCTCGGTTGGATAGTCGTAGACAATATTGTTTACGACTGTACCAAATTCATGAAAGAGCACCCAGGAGGTGAAATTGTCATACAAAGTTTTATCGGGGAAGACTGCTCTTGGCAATTTTGGCGCTTTCATTCCAAGGGGATTATGGCGAAGTGGGGACGACCATTGCGTGTTGGGCGGACGGAAGGGATAGTGAATCGATTTAAGGAGCCTCCGAGGTACTTCGGATCAAGAAACCGATAGCCTAGGTATATTGGATGGATAGTACATGCTGAACTTTGCTCTAGATAATAAACCCTGAATCCTATGTAGATCGGATATGGCTCAATATATTAAATCTTACTATACCTCGAAGTATACTAACTACTGGCCATCCTGTTGTAAAACCTTTCTGTCAACATGAACCCTGAAAATTGGTCCTATATACACGTAGGAGTCCGACTGTGAATAGTTAACCGCGTTCGGATTCCTCAGCAAGTGCATCACAGCCATTGCTCTATCATTCTAAGATGACTCCAAAGGACCACAGTTGCGGGCGATGCGCGGTGATGCGCGGTGATGCGCGGTGAAAATGACGCCATATCAGATATCTCCGATCGAGGGGTAAATCCGATGCGGGGAGTCCTCTGAACAGTCCTTGGAGAGTTTTTGATTTATAAAAGTAGCTGGACAAAAGTCCAGTACTGTTTATGTAAAAGCTCAACCTCTTGAATCCAATCCATTTCAAAATGACAGTCAACGGCGTGAATACGCTCACCAACTATGTGGCATACTCGGAGCCCAACAGCGGCCCGAGAATTGGCCATCTCGACTTCGAGACCTCGACTATCACCCCTCTTTCCTTCAAGTCTGGCACCCCATTGACAGATCTTTATCAAGTGATCGCGGCCGGCGAACATGGAATCACGGCATTTGGCGCGCAATCTTTCCCTCTTTCTAGCGTCAAGCACCTCCCCCCAATTTCAGGTCGCGACGTGCTTGCTGTTGGAAAGAACTACGTCGAACATGCCCGTGAATTCAACTCCTCTGGTTACGATGCCAGTGATAAGACCGACCAGCCTACGCACCCGGTGATCTTCACAAAGCGTGCGACTTCCATAATTGGCCCAGAAGAACCTATTCTGTTGCATCCAAACTTCACCAGCACACCTGACTACGAGGGTGAGATCGGCGTGATTATTGGCAAGGGGGGTTTCCAAATTCCGGAGCAGAATGCTTTAGACCATGTCTGGGGTTATACTATCGTCAACGATATGACTGCACGCGAGCGCCAGCGTGACCACAAGCAATTTTTCCTGGGCAAATCCCCTGATACGTTCTGCCCAATTGGACCCGTTGCTGTCCCTGAAGGAAAGTCTTCCAGAGAACCTGAAGATTCAGACCTTCGTCAACAAAGAGAAGCGCCAAGAGGCCACTCTCAGTGATCTAATATTCAGCGTTCCTAACCTGATTGCGACTATCAGCGCTGGCCAAACACTACAAGCCGGCGACGTTATCGCCACTGGTACCCCCGCCGGTGTCGGATTCGGGTTCAGGCCCATGAAGTTCTTGCAACCCGGAGATGAAATCAGTATCTCCGTGACAGGACTAGGAACCCTGACAAATCAGGTTGCTGCAACTGATGCAGTCAACACCACCTCCGAGCGCGCGCAGTCCCACATCCCCATCGCTAATCAGAAGGCGCCCGCCAATGCGGGATTGACAAACTTCAACGGCAAGAATCTCTTCTATCAACGACTGGGGGTTGAAACAGGTCCGCCGGTCTTCTTCATCCATGGACTGGGTGGATCTACAAGTTACTTCTATCCCCTTGTTGCGAAGCTTCAATCCACACATTCCTTGCATCTTCTGGATCTAGAAGGACATGGCCTTTCTCCAACATCGGCACTCAGCACCCTTTCCATCGCCTCTTTTGCAGACGATTTCTACAGGCTGTCCAAATTTACTGGTGTGTACGAGGGCGTTACCGTGATCGCCCACTCAATGGGCTCTCTTATCGCTCTCAAGCTTGCTCTAGAACATCCTGACCTTGTGTCCAAACTCATCCTGATGGGTCCCCCGCCGAGCCCATTACCGGAAGCAGGCAGCCAAGGATCTTATGCCCGAGCCGCTCTTGTTCGAAAGCAGGGAATGTTGGCGGTTGTTGATGCAATCACACAAGCTGGAACTTCGATCTTCGTTCAACAGAACAATCCGCTAGCTATTGCTGCGGTGCGCAGTTCTCTTCTCGGCCAGGATGCCGAAGGATATGCCAAGGCATGTGCGGCACTTGCTGGATCCGCTGCCGAATCACTGGATATTAAGAGTCTGCGTATTCCAGTTTCCTTTGTTACGGGCGAGGAGGACAAGGTCAGCCCTCCGGCTCTCTGTCAGAAGTACTCCGAGGCAACAGGAGGTGGAAATGTTCGGGTTCTCAAGGATGTAGGGCATTGGCATCTATTTGAGGATGTTGATCGAACTGTGCAGGCCGTTCTGGCGCAGATTTGAGACATTCTTATGCCTTTTTTTTCTTTTTTTAATTTCCTTTTATTCGTTCATGTTAATAGACGTCAAGGGACAAAACAAACCCTTTCTACACCACCTATTGTAGAAATTGAAACAAATCATTTCATTCCCAAATTTCTAGACAAATAGACTATTTTCAACATATATGAAAAGGAAACGAGTTTTAGGTGTTGATAAATTCAGTTCGAATGGAGTTATGGCTTCACCGCAGCCACCGATCTCATCGATACCCTGTGAGCACGGCATGATATGATGTTCCCAAATGTAGTATACACTACTTTTATTCAGGGCTTGAGCTCTCCATCGGTCCATAGAAGGAGTAAATTATTAAATTGTACAAGAGTTATCAACTAGTTGTGTTAGACGTGGTGCCTCCGGCATTGAAGCCGCCTTGTCGTCCTTCGCCCTGAAGTTTCTGTTTCGGTAGTCTCGTGTTAGCATCCATCCACCACTTTTCGTGCATCTTTCCCTTCGTCCATTGGCACATGACCATACTAGTGCAGAGAAGTGCGGAGAAAGAAGGAGGGTTTGGCGGTGCCATGGTATAGCCTAAATGATCATCACTTCAGCAGCATGTCCGCGAAACTCCGCGAAACCCCGCGAAACCCCGCATTATCGTCCCTTGCCTAGTAGATATGTGGAGTTCATATGGCCGAGCAACATGGAGGTAGATGCGGAGACCAGAGAATTGAGAATGAGCTATCCAGTGGTAGGAAAGACCCCTATTCCTAGCGCTAGATCTGTTCACTTACGTGTTCCCCGGATTATAGGCTGTGGAGAATGGATTCAGGTTAGTTCTAGTGTGAGTTCCACCGGCAGCGTATATAAATCCAAGTTGCGAACGGGTCCAAGAAGCCCGTAGTATATTATACACTTACTGCTAGTAGCCTTTTTAACCCTCAATCATCCGTCAATCACCATGGTCTCAAACGATTTCGCTGTCACCAAATCGGAGGAAGAGAACACATCTCCTTCATCTCACGCAGACCACCTTGAACGCCTTCACACAGCAGGAGGACATGTGAACGACCGCAGTCAACCTGCCCTTCCTGTCTATCATCGTACATTTGCGAGCCCCTCTCCATTGGGACTGATCTCCTTTGCTACAGGTATATCACCGTGACCGCTCCCCTTTTGATGATATGTGGTTAATCGTGTAGATATTTTCTTGATTTCCGTCTTCGGATTGCACGCAAGGGGTGTTTCAGTACCTAATGTAATGGTTGGGTGTCTGGTATTCTATGGTGGTGTTGGTCAATTCATTGCCGGCATCATGGAATTCATCACGGGAAACACGGTATGCCATCTGGCATTGGAATCAATAGGCTATGCTAGCTACTAACAGATGTACGTTCATTACAGTTCGGTGCCACCGTATTCTCGTCATATGCTGCATTCAACTTGTCCTACGCAATGATTTATCTCTCCGGAACAGGTATAATGTCTGCATACACCGACGCCGCTACCGGTACCGTGGACCCTAGCTTCAACCAAGCTCTGGCATTATACCTGTGGGCGTGGTTCATAGTGACCGTGGTTTTTACCATCGGGGCGATGCGATCGTCCTGGGTTCTTTTCGTTGACCTGTTCTTCTTGGACATTTCTCTCATGCTTCTGGCTTCTGGGTTCATGGCCAACATGGATTCTCTCCTGACTGCCGGTTATTCTTTCGGGCTTGCTGTGTCGTTTCTTTCTTGTAAGTACCATACCCATAAACGCCTATCATGCGACATGATTAAAACTAATCTTGATTGAGTAGACTGGGCCGGTTGTGCTGGATTATGGGGTGGTGGAACCACTCCCATCAAATTGCCGACATTTGATATGTACTTGGCTGTTTGAACTCTCGAGTGTTTGATGGAAAGTATCAGTGGGTGAACATGGTATAAATGGAATCGGTACCTTGGGGATAGAAAAGAAGGACTCGTACTATTGGATTTAGCGATTTGAACACCGAGTAGTAATCAAACAAACTTTAGCGGTTTCCAGATGGAGCGAAAATTGTGACTTACTACAACGGTATACCTAATCCAATAGCTATTTCAATTTCACCGTTAGAGTCAAGATGTCGATTGACCTTGGAAGATCTTGTGGTTATGTTTCATTTGAAAGCAACTTGTCCAGGGAATTTACTCGTACCGGAGATGTCTAGAGGGAAAGGTGTCATGACTATCACTACTAGTAGCGTTTGGTATATCTGCGGGTGAAACTTCCACTCGGAAATGATTTGAGGATTGAGTGTCCTGGGTATACATAAAATGGGTGACTAAATCGAAAGTCCGAATCATGTTCCTGTCCTCAAATGCCGATATCACGATACTAGTATATTACATCCGAAGAGCATCGATCTGCCCACGGAAATCCCGCCGGAGAAAGCCATTGTTCGCATGGAATTTTGGACACAATCTCCTCGAAGCTTTCCGGTAATGACCAAAAGCTCGAGTCAAAGTCGTCAGATGCACCATTCGCACCTATTGCCATAGACTCATTGCTCGATCCGATACCACTGGTATCCCTCGAGTCACATACACCATCCGAGAATGCTAGGAATGGGGTGGGCTGGAGAAGCTCTTCTGGCATCAATGGATCCAATATCGAACAAGCTCGAGTACATATCTCGCTGTATGGGGCATTGTCGTGGAATCGCCGAAAACAACTTTGCACGGTTTGCAATATGAGATTTTTGGGATTTTGCGGGGCTCGAGGCTTCGCTAGTAGAACCAGTAGGGTTGATATTGCTAGAAATGCGTGGAATGACCCAAGGCCATGGATATACCAGCTGTATGGTTTGAATTCATGCCGCGAATTGAGGGTTTTGTAGTTCGAAAGGATGGCGATAGCAGCCTGCTCGCATTTTTCGTAGCTTGTTGCCAGACCTCCGTCTTCAATGCCCTCTGGTTTGAAGAGACGAATTCGATGTAAGAGAAGAACCAGATGATTGGTGTAATTATTCAGAATAAACGAATGTGCCTGATGGTATGTAGGCAGATCAAGTTGCTCGCGGAAGCGGTCTGCCTGGGCATGCATTTCAGTCTGGAGCTGGTCATCCAACGCGTGTATCTTGCTCGTGCAGGATGTGGACCCTCTCGTGCTTAGAGCGCATATATCGGATGCTAGAGAATAGAGGCGGAATTTATACAAGATGTATGACATTTTCGTCGGGTTCTTTTGGCCTGAAGGCGGCTCACTTCCATGCGCGGCTTCATGGAACGAGTCTGGAGCAATCTCATCATCTTCCACGTCCGCCGGCAGCTGGACATTGTTCTCCATTTTAAATGGGGCCAAGTTACCAAGACAGGTGTTTTGAATAGTGTAAAGCATCATTAGCCCCGCCCAGGCTCGCCGCCTCTCTTGGACCTCAATGGGATGCAAGTCAAGAAGCGTGGGATCAACGTGGCACCCAATAGCAATGGCTATATTGAGTGTCGTTCCAAGGAGAGCCCAGGCTGGACCCTGGGCATGATTTATGGCATATATAAGCAGAATGAGACACTGCAGGGTGTGCAAATTATGCTGCCACATGAAATTATCGGCAGCCAGGCATTTCATCGCCGCCTGTCGGTATTTTGCTGCCAATGACCTCACGCTTTCCGCTGTAGAGGCCTCTCGACCTAAGTCTGCTAGGATGGGACTTTCTTTATCAATGGCAGTGACAGCCAGCCCCAAGGCGACGAATATCAACCCAATAAATGAAGTGGGAGCGTTTCGAGGGTCTTGTTTGAATTTGGCGTAATTCGACAGGAAGGTCCCGTCGTGAAGGATGTGGAAGAGTGGGGAGAACACATCGAAGAAGACGGTGAGGAGGTCGTCACAATGCCGAAACGGAGGTAAAATATCTAATAAGGACTGTGTGGTGGGAAGTGTGTCGGTGAATAAAAATACACCGGAGGGGGATTCCAGTTGTGATCGATTCTGCAGCGAATGGAAAACATCAGGGTCGCGAGAGGTACTGTAAGGAACGAATCGCACATGACCTGACGAGGATGCGATGATTCTGCCGGCTTCACCACGTTGAGATTCGATGTCCTTTCGGTTTGAATAATGATTATATGTGTATTCCGAGAAGGGAATCTCAGATGTCTCGTCCTGAGATGGAGGGAGATCATTATGGGACACAGGCGAGCGGAGCGCGTGATTATGAGCGTTAGAGTTCGACGTCAATTCAATGTTTCGAATCAGTAGACTTTCCAAATCCGAGATCCGCTGTAGAAGAATATCCTGCTTCGTTTCATGACGCTCTGGTTGGGGGTTCTGTTCAACATCGCGCTTGAACTGGCATGACGACGCCACTCCACGCTTTCGACAGGTATCACATGGCACTCCAGATCCTAAACAGCGTATCTTTCTCCGTCGGCAGTTTTCACAGCTTAGAGGTAGCCTTTTGGTCATAATTTTAGTCTCCAGGACACACAAGAGAGGTGTCGATTGTTCCTGTTGGAAGGCTCTCCCCGCATCGGGGTTTCATGCGGGGAAAGTTAACCTCGGGCAGGCGGAGGACGACTTAATCCGCTGTATACAGGATCCCGGTGATATCACTGCTGTTTTGGTCATATCGCTATATTTATTCTTGCACATGATCATGAAGATCTGGAGCAAAGGATTGAAGTGGGCAAAGAGTGGCTGGTTGACTATATGCAACTCGTCGGTTTTGACTTCAATTGCATCCCGATCACGGACATATGAGGGCCTCGATTCAAACTTATTTACTTAGACGTGGACCATTTGTTGCCTGCCTCGTAAGGTCACTGGTGTAGCCAAGACTTTTCGACATTCTACTAACCTTCAAGTTGACCAATGAATGGAATTAGATCAAACCCAGCGGCAAGACAGACTCCATTCCTATTTCAACCTGGACCGGAAATCATAATGCAACAAGTCTATTCTATTTCCCCTGTTTTGGAGTCCAAAACCAGGCGGGAACACAGAGCATATCAATACAATAGTCTAAGTTACACTCGAGAAAAGATGAAAGACATAGGAGCGCAGAACGGGGGAATGAATATGCTGGAAAGATCATGGGAGAGAAGATGTAGCGGAGATTTGAAATCGGGGAGACGGCGAGGGGACTTTTATATAATACACACCCCCGATCTCGATAGAGCCCCATTTGCATCGTGGAGGAGAGAGAGAAAGCAGAGGCTAGCCCGTTAAACCGGACTTTGCGGTATGCCGACCTCTTCGGGTGGGGCCAAGAAGAACTTTGAGAAACTTTGAGAATCAGACATTAACTCAGTTCTCAGTCTTCTGGGCCTCCTGGTTCTTGGTCTCGGCATCGTGAGCAGCCTTGGGAACCAAAACTTCGGGCTCAGTGACGTCGACCTTCTCGGCTTCAACGGCCTTCACCTCGGCGTTGGCTTCCTGGGCGCTGTAGTGCTTATTCTCGTTTTGGGAAGCGGCATCGATATCGGCGGCGGCAGCAGGGGGCTGCTCGGAAGAGGCAGGGGGAGCAGGAGCACCGGCCTCAGCAGCCTCAGCTTCCTCGTCCTCCAGCTCGGCACCGTACACATCGGGGTGTGCGCGGAAGCAATTTTGCATGCCCCTACAATCTAGTTAGTATATGATTTCGGCCCCAGTCCAACGACTTTATATCAGATCTTCAACACGTACTGGAACTTTTCAATGCAGTCAATGCCCTTGGGCTCCTCCTCCGAGTACACGAAGCAGCTGAACGCGGCCTTGAACTCCTCTCCGCAAGGACCATGCGCCATACCACCCAGGCACGGGCAGTCCCAGTTGATCTCGCCAGTCTCCGGGTTGAAAGCGGCTTCTTGGCCAGCCTCCTTCTCGAGCTCTTCCGGGTTCACGCTAGCCTTTCGGGCTGCGGCTCGCTCTTCGCGGATCTTCGGGGTGATGGAGTCGAGGGTTTCGGACGAGGCGTTGGCATTGTCTTGTTGGGTCTTGGCGAGGATGGAGACTATGTTGCGCAGACCGTCGTTAGTACAAGGGTTCGAATAAATCAAATAAGCCATTGGCGCCGGGATGCGATTATCCGGGCTCGGTTTTCGTCCGCATCCCGGGTGCCGGGCATGGAGGAAGGGAAGGGCCTGCCGCGGAGAACATACATTGGGGCTCTTTGGAGAATGCGCTGCTAGTGTTGTAGTAGTAGATCGCACCACCAGCCAGACCAAGTCGGAGGACGGTGTTCTTCCAGCTTCTCGACTTGGTAGGACCGGTGCTTATCAATCGTCTGCTGGCTGGGCCACAGGGCGCGGCGATGGGTGCGCGGGCGAGCGCTCGTACGGCGGGGCGAAACATGATGAGGTGAAGCGAGTGAGATGTGAATTGAGACCGCGAAGCACCTCCAGAGGACGCAGGAAGGGAGGGAGCGGGAGGAGGAAGCGGAACGGAGAAGTTGGTGGAAGAAGAGTGGATTTCGGGATTTCGGCCTGAGGTTGGCGGCCGCGCCAGTCGTGCACCAGTCACGTTGGCTCCCGCTGCGGCAACATCTTTCCAGGCCATTTCTACACTGAGAGACACAAAGCTTCGGCGGTTTTCTACACTACGCGGAGGGGGGGAATAGGAACTACTCCTTATCATTGTATCATGGAGTGGGATCCTAGCCAGTTCTTTCGTCCAGGTGCTCATGCCTCGCCATATGCCTTGCTGGTGTTGAACCAGCCAATCAACGAAACGGCCTTTGGGGTATTAAGTGAACATGGTGAGCAAATAGCCCTAGCTCCCGATTCATCCTAGCAATACGCATAAGCATTGCGGGTAATATGAAGGGTTTTCGCATTTTCAGTCGACAAGATCTAATATCTCGCAGCTTCCTACATCATCTGTGCTGATGGCGGGGCAAACCGTCTATATGACATGCTGAAGCATCATGGGAAAGAATCTACAGTTGTAAGTTTTTTCTGCAAGGGCAACACTCGTCCGATCTGAAACAAATTGGATGAAAAGGATTCACTCAAGACTTTTGAGCTTGATGTATCCTAGTACTCTCCAGAGACATATATCTTGGCACATCACCACATATAAAAACTGACCCTTCATACTATCAGCTCCCAGACAGGATAATGGGTGACTTGGATTCTCTTAAGCCAGCAGTAAAGGAGCACTATGAAAAGCTTGATGTTCCAATCAATAAAGATCCAGACCAATACTCTACAGACTTCACCAAATGTCTGAAATATCTCAACGAACACGCTTCAGAGATCATCGCATCTCCCCGCAAGCAGGCAAAAACCCCCAGCCTGAACGCAAACTCGACATTGGAAATGGTTATCCTGGGCGGTCTTGGCGGTCGTGTCGACCAAGCATTCTCGCAAATCCACCATTTATACATGATGACGCAGACGCAGCGTGAACTACGCGAATCTCAACAGGACTCGAGCCAAGATAAGGAGATCAACACAAGCTCAAACTCAAGCTCGAAGCCAAACCAAGCTTCTGGCGGTAATCTCTACCTCGTCTCTGAAGAAAGCATCACATTCGTTCTACAGAAGGGGAAGAATATAATCCATACGCCGGCCACGAAACGTCCCCAGGTTGATATCCAGCAATCAGAATGCGATGACGCGCTTGAATCACGGAAACGAAAGCGGGTCCAGAATCAGGACCAGGACCAAGGCTCCGCCACGGAGACTGACAGTGCCGATGATTCTCCGGAATATCTGTTCGAAGAGAATATCGGTATTATCCCACTCTCGGCACCAGCATCGATTACCACACATGGTTTTGAATGGGATGTGGAGGACTGGCATACTGAGATTGGAGGACAGCTTTCGACTAGCAATCATATTCGTGCTGACGTGGTATCGGTCGAGACGTCGGTTCCGGTGCTATTCACGGTGGAATTGGCGGAGAGATTGAAACGTTGAGGTTAATAGTTACGAGCTAAGAGGTATTATATGAGCCATGTCTGTTCAACGCGAGGCGAAGTGATACGATGTAATGTGGAAAGACAAAATCTCTTGAATATTTACAATACTTTGCTCATTGATACCCCTACCTTCCTACTAGGTATCCCATAGACTCGATGAAGGGAGAAAGAAAACTTAAATGAAATAAAGTACTTCCAAACGCATTACCAGAGGAGACCTCCAAAAACCTAAACCAAGACCAGAATACTAAGAACCCCAAACCCAGGCGCCTTCTCTGGCTGAAACGAGAGACCAAGAATGTAATAAAGGGAGCATGAAGAAAACTCGAAGGGGGAAAAAACCATAGAAGAAGAATAAGAAGCAAATATCGCATATCGCATATCGAATCGTCGCATATCCCAAACACTAACACTCGAACCAAAAACTCGTTGTGGCGCATTAATTCGCAGGAAACATAAGGTAAACGTGGCATAAGGTCACGGCGAGGACAGGAGAAAACCCACGACACGCCTTCAAAAGAAACAAGAGGATATCATCCAACAGAGAAACCAGTCTGAACCTGATAGAACCAGAGTGGTGCATAAAAGAGTAGCAGACAACGACCCTTGGGAGAGGGGGCTTTCAAAACACGTGAAACATAGGGCGAAAAAAACAAAACAAAAAGCAGATTCACATCCAGCGCACTACCATAACAGAAAAAAACCTCTCATCCCAGTCTGCAAGCCCAGCTCGACCTCCTGTACAGCCCCGAGGCAGACGAAAGTAATAACAACCCGTTTATCCAGCACCAACCAACAGTACCTCACACGAGCTATTGGCGGTGCAAAATAGCCTCGTAAAGAGTTCCAATGACTCCAATAGCGGTACCAGTCAACATACCACCCCAGCCACCGGGCACAGAGGCGTTAACCCTGGCGATGGTATAGTGACTGAACAAATCAAAGAAGCCAAGGTGGTCAACATAAACCTTGTAAACAAGCAAAGCCTTGGCAATATTGAACGTAAGCGGATCAAAGCTCGCGCGATCAGCCGCAGCGGACGAAGAACGACTACGACGCGCACCGGAACCACCGGTAGCAGCTTGATAGCTCAGATTAATAAAGTAAGCCGCGATCAAAGGCAGGATCAGACCAGACAGCAGCCACAGCGTGAACGGAGCCCAGAACGACCCGCTCAACAGGACGAACAGATCGGGAACCTTGATCGGAAGTGAAGGGAGGTGAATCGCGTCAACTGCGGGGGTGGTAGTCAGATAGCGCAATGGAACCAGCTCTTTCAGCATACTTCCGCCCTCGAGGAGGAGAACGATGGTTTCGACGGCCTTGAGGCTGCTTAGCGCGGAGCGCAAGGCATGCTGGTACTCCACAACACCCGAGTCTGTCCATGCCGTCTCGAGACCTTCGCGCATACGCGCTGTTTGGCGGTCAATTGCGTCGGTCACGATGGCCGGGGATGGGGGTAGCTGTTGAGTTGTGGATTCAATGACGGATCGCACGCGCGATGAGGAGCGTGCGACTGAGGCCTGCGCCTTGTTCAAGGGAGTCTTGAATGCGGGGGATTTGGCAGCATCTTCGGACTCGCTGTCGCGGCTTGTTAATGGTTTGCGACAGGCTTGGCAGAGGTGGGATGGGTTCTGTTCTTACCTGCTTGCAGTCTCGCGTTGCTTGGGTTTGCGACCAGGCGTCTTCTTCTCCGACGCGGGGGTGGCGAGCTCAACTCTGGGTTCGCGCTTGACGGGGGATTCTCCGCGAGCGGGCGCAGCTAGGCGCTTGAAGTAGTCGGCGAGCTTCTTGTCGTTAGATAGAGTGGCTTGGTTATCGCTGAGGTGCTTGTCCAGCGCGACGGCGAGATCGCCCTTGTTTAAATCGGAGATGCTGTGATACAGAAGATGAGATGATTAGCCATAGAGTTCAGGTAAAGATACTACGGTATCGTTTGATCGGAATTTCGGGATTGCGCGCGTGCGCGACAGAGGCAATTGAATGGTAAACATCAACATCAACATACTCGGTGAGCTTGGTTCGCTCGGCGATCTCAACTAGCTCCGGCTTGCGCAGCCGGTTGAGGGTGGGGAGGCCACTGGACATAGTGAAATATTGAATAGGATGAAAACCCGCCAGAAGTAATGGTAAAGTGGACCAATGCGCGAGGCAAAAAGGTAGATATTAGAGGAGGGGAGCGTGGAGATGCAAGGAGGGGAATTGGGGATTGGATTGAAGTGGATTGGACTGGGGGGGGCGGTTGGCTTGTTTACGCGCGATCGCCAAAACAAAACACGCTAGCGCGTTTGGGGATTCCTCACGAGAATGAAGTCATCAATACGGAGTAGCATACTATGTTTGCCAGTTTAAGGTGCAAAATGGGTATTGCGAGTATTGATTGAATTTATTAAATTTATTTGACTAGTACCTATTAGTTCCAAAGGAGGAATATCCGTAATATAATACATATCCCCAGGTGTCATGTACGGTGATCTCCCTACGCTGTGGATCATGTGATCCACTCCAACCACGTATCATCCATGGTTACTCTTTCCTAAATCCTCTGAAAAATGCCAGAAGTCTACTAGTACAATCAAGAAGTTCGAATTACCTTGACCCACATATCTACAAGCATCGAGGCTAGTCTATCAGTCTCCTTCTTCAAGTTCCTTGAAGAGAGAATCAAGGAATACAAATGCGACCTAGCCTACATTCAAGCTGCTCGCGATGGACTTGTCGAAGCCCAGGATGGCAATAATCTCACACTCGCCGAGTTTCCAGCTGAACTCGATGCGTTACTTCTCAGCACGAGAAACGCAAAATAAAAGTTGAATATCCTAGAGGGTCAAAGAGAACTACTAGAAGAAGACCTTGATGAAATGTCATCACCGAAACGCCAAAAGCAGTCCGCAGGACGGAGGCCCTAGCCTTGCTTTAGCGGTGCGGGCATATACAAAGACCATATTACCACGAGTCACGGCAGCATCAGCGCGCCAGAAAAAGTCTCGCTTTGATCAAAGCGGATTTCGGAAAGCGGCACCCCTTCCAAACTGCAGGGTTTGGTCGAGCTTATGGGACGAGAATAGGTGATGATATTAATCTTCATAGTCTTTTTCAGGCTTTGTCGAAGGAACTAGAAGTGCCTCCTCACGAGTCCCTTGGGACTAGTGTCCCCCAAAGCCCAACACCAGGAGAGATCATACGTATAGGGCTCGAACGCAGACCCTACGACTCGAGAAGACCCAAAGCAATTAAACCCCCGAGGAGATTGAATGGCACGAACTTCACAAAAGAAATGGGAGTACGAGTTTTGCGGACAGAATCGAACACCTTGAAAACTGTTGACCAACGTCAGGACCATATCTGCGAAGGTCCATGTTTACTATACTGTTGTGATTCTTCCAATTTACCAATCTAAATCGGAAATCGGAACACCGTCACGCTGGAAATGTATTCTGCCTAGGTACTAGTAGCGAACAAGTTGAATGACGACCACCCAGCAATCTCAGACATGATAGCTACTAGTAGTACTATGTTGATCAGTATTTTCGGTGGGAGTCGTGCTGCTCTTTCTTCCAAGATTGCGATGCATCGTTTACCTGGGTATGAGATATTCGTATTCCAAGATTCAACCCACTCTCTCCATTCGTTTGCTCCAAGGCACTGTGTATATTTTATATCGACAATGGGAACTTGAACTTAACAGTAATATAATTATTTATACAGGTTTCATGTAGCTGAGAGTAGTATGGTACAGGTGGGTTGTGTGGCCCGTCTAGTCTATCACAAGAACAAGGATGGGAGCTGGTGATGTACAACGCGCAAAAACAAAATATGGCTCCTCCTTCTTCCGCCCTGATCCAAAAAAAGAGAATACAATGGATCCCAAAATAACGCCACCCGAATGAAAGCCGGTTAATGCAGAGAGTGAAGTATGCTTGATGCTTCATGCTTCATGCTTCAATCACAGAGGAGACCAGTCCTCTACGCCATGGTATGCCTCGAGTTGTTTGAGCAGATACTGGTACATGACCAGCATGGTTCCGCTCTGAATGCTGGTCCACACACCGCGCGGGCCCACGCCCCGGAACCACCCCGCAAGTCCCTCGGTTCGGTAGATCATTTTCAACCCGGTGAATACCGAGGATGTATCTAATCGAGGAGCCCCGGGGGCTGGCACTGAGGTTGAAGGGGAGGAGGTCGAAATCGGTCGGGAGTGTGAGCGTGAACTTTGGGAATGTGATGAACCTGGCGCGTGAGGTCGAGGACTTTCTTTGGGTGCGTGGTCGTGGGAGTGTTTCGCACCCGATGAACTCGAGGGGCTATCTGGGATATTCTTTTGCGTTTGGATGCGGGTTTTGACAACATCCAAGGGGCAGGTGATCACTCCAGCCATACCACCGGCAGTAGCGGCAGTCGCAATCTCCAGTCCTAAACCAATGTCTCGCTTGCCAACCCACTCCTTGGCCATCGTTTGCTCCTGTTCATAGAATGCGAATTGCAGCGCGGAGAAAGGTAGATCACGGAAGATGGTGGCCTTGTAGCCGTGGAAGAGGGCAGGAAAGCCCTCCTGGCGGACGATGGTTCGGAGGGCATCACCCGTGCTGCGATAGTTGTATCCCGAATTGAAGTGGGGGTTGTTGTATCGGCCTTGCAGTTGAAGTCGGGTCTTGAGAACCTTGGACGGAACGTAAACCACCGACGCAGCCAAATCCGCGAAGAAACCACCGGAAAGATACGCAAGGCTGGGATTTATCCCCGAATCCAACATAAGTCTCTTTGTGAATTCGTAGACTCCGAAGAAGATCACTGTGCCTGGGAAGGACCCCCAGAAAGCGGGCGTCACACCACTATATAGACCTCGGACAAATCCTTCTTGGCGATAAATTGTTGAATATGAGGAGGCCATCGACGTGTACTTAGGTGGGAAGGTCGGATCGCCCTGCTGCCTGGTCTTGACGGTATCCAATGAATGCATCAGCATATCGCCACATGAGCCTCCGATTCCGCCTGCCAGCATCGCCTATAGAAAGATATCGCATTAGCATTTGTCAGGATTGAGATTGTTGTGCACCGCAGTATTGCCGCTAGGGATTGGTCGTACATGAAGGTACGGCGGACGGGGTTCTTCCTCCTCCAACATCGTGCTGCTCTGGGCATGTCGGGATGCGCCGGAGGTCACCTCATTCTTGTGACCGGATATCGATGAAGGTGGGAGGTGGGTAGTGGAAGTGGACAAGTCGGTCGAATTGGTGGCCGCTGGGTCGGAGTTCGCTGTTGTCGAGAACAGCCCGAAGACTCGCGAGGTCAGGCTCATGGCAAGGGCCGAGATGCTGGGCTCCCGCGACGATCGGGGCCAAAGGGAGGGGGTATGGAGGGGATGCCTTGAAAAGAAAGAAGCACCCCCGGTGGAATAGGAAGAGGTCTAAAGAGTGACGACAAAGACGGGGGTGAGGGGGTTAAGCTGGAAGATGAATGTCATCGAATCTCCGAGTCCGAAACAATAATTCGCTCAATCACCAATTTTGAATTTGACTTTCGGGCGGAGAAAAAGAAAACACCGCCTTGACGCCTCAGGCAGAAACTGCGTCATCATGGTTGATGACTAATGACACAAGAGCCGCCAACTTTAACTTTCCATACTTCCCATGTACTTCCATCTGCATCCATGGCCCTTTAGGTATGCTATTGCGTGAGAATTGCAATGCCAATGCATATTCCAACATTAGCAAAGACTTTTCAAATACAGCAACCCCGATAAAAAGCCAGATGCACGAAAATACGAACGATATCACACATCGAACACCCTCAGAAAACGACAAGATTTGGCCAATTTTATGGCCTAGTAGTTGTGCTCCTGACACAACCTCCAGCGCATTCTCTACGGCATACTATCAGGATCCTAAACCAAACACTTAGAACATGTATTTTTCTTCCGTTTTCTTTGTCACTTTTACTTGAGACTTCTTTTCTCTTTTAGATAGGAGATTTCATTTTGGAAGAACGTTCTGTAAATTGCCCCATTCCGTGTCTATCTAACTATACTCTACCTTTTACTAATTACACAAGTACGGTACAATTAATAGGAAGGATGTATTTCTCTATAATAGTAAGCACCAGCCGCTGATCTGTCCAATAATATTATACTCGGTTCAAGTTCAAGTTAATTAGATAAATATAGTCACTGGAAGGTATAATGCTACAAGACCGTGGCTATTTTTAATTCCAGCATGGTATATGCCGAGGACATCCTTCTAGGTGGAGCGTTGACTTGAGATCCGTTTGTCGAGGTGAATATCTAGTATTCCCCTTCGAATCTTCCCTTCACATCCTACCTCACTTCTCCCCCTTCACATCTCCCCATCCTCAACAATCCTTATCCCCAACTCCATCACCTGAAAATCGAATCTTTCTTTCACGGCTCAAGAGGCTTCCCTATCAACACTCCGGCTTCAAGTAAGCGTGACTTCTTCTCACTTCCACTGTCTCGGTATGAGTGATGCTAACGGGCCCAGATGGTCGACATGACTGATCAGCAAATTGGAATGGCAAGATGCCATTTAACCGACCTCCCAATGGAAATTTTCGAGATTATTCTTGATCTTCTACCCCCTGAGGACGTTGCATGTCTATCTCTATGTAACAAAGGCCTCTTTGAGCTCCTTGCATCCCCGAGCGAGCGAGGGGCGTTCAAAGATGACATCAAACAAGTCTCTGAAGGTAATCCCGGGGTCAACAACGAGCGCATGAGGTTTTTGATGACACTTTCTCGCGATCTACCCCGATACATCCCACGTTTTGACACAGGACAGCTGCGCCTTTAGGAAAGGCTTCTGCCGCCCCAAGACCTCCGCATAGGTGACTACGGCATGATTCACGTGAATCTTTCACCACCATACCGATATGGCCTCAAATTTGAACATGTGTTTACTGTGATGAGAAGATTCAGACAGGGCCCGCAATATGGCACCTCGCCATCGTTTCTGCACCAGCTCATTGTCCAGGAATGGTTCCCAAGTTGGGTCCGAAGCAAACAACCAGAACGGACTACCTCGGAAGCTTATGATAGGATGAAGAACATTGATCTGCTTTCCATCCAAGCACGCATCTACTTCCCGGTTCCTGGCGGCACTTCGCAGGGCTATGCATCTCACGACTCTGAATCAGAACCCAGCTTGTGCCTAAGGTTTCAGCTTATAGGAATGCTAAAGACCGGGACAGAATGCATTGAATGGATCACCGACCGACCCGTCGCATACTGCCACGGAATAATGGCCAAAACGCTCTTTGATGACTATGGGGGACTCGCTCAATTTTATCTTGCAACCTTCATAAACAACTCCAGTGAAGGAACTAGGGAGTACTACCAGGAAAGATGCCGCTTCTGCGACTCGGTTTGCCGGCTGAAGGCTCGCAGGTTTGTTGACGATGATGGATGCGAAGTTAAATGTATCACTATCACACGATGGATCAACCTCGGAGCTGGTCTGGACCCTGTCGACTTTTTCAAGGATAGGCATTCTACTGAAGAGAACTATGGGCTCCCTGATAACCTGGATGCCCGCGAGTGTTTCAATAACGGGTATGAGGATTCGGAATATGTCATGTCCGAGGAGGAACTTTGGGAGTGTAATTTTGCCCTTTTGAAGAGCAAGAGTTACAAAAGGACCATGAAATACATCGGTGATGGAAGCAAGCCGGACGAGTGGGTGCATCTCTTTGACAGGTGCCCGACTTGGATCGTGCCAATTGATCGGCTGGAAGGCTGGCCTCGTGAATTTTAGTCAGTTATCCTGTGTAGATTGATTTCTATGGGAAAACTGGCGGTACGATATCACACACAGCGTTGACAAAAACAACTCAAGTTCGAGATGTGCTCGATTCTCCACTCCACAGCGAGGGATCTGCTAGTTAGTCCAGAAGTAGAAGATAGGAACTAGAATGCAATGCCCGCTGGCATCAATTTTCACCTACAGGCGCATTTATTTTACTGACCACATCTAGCGAATTAAATGTGTGGCGTAGCCAAAGCCAAGCTAAACTGTCAAAGGATACCAACTACAGCTTAGTTCAAGAGCTTTGGCATATCCGCAAATACAGACTTCGTTATTGTGAAATTCCGAAAGTCGATTGCAACCAAGTTAAGACAGATACAGAAAACAATGCTTCGCGAGTTTCTAGAGACAAAGAGGACAAAAGAAAAATAAATAAAAAATAAACAAAGGGCATGGCGTTGCGTTGCGTATAGCTTCATCATGGACGGGATCGATCATACCCGTCCGCCTCTTTCTACAGAGACTATCTCCACATTTCCATACTGACACACAATTCGTTCAATTCACTGCTCCACATCTCTCACTCTCTCCTTTCATAAACTGGGGATTTTCGAAGCCGGGGCCTCCTTCAGGTGAACCGAGCCCAGGCTTTCACAGTCACGGATCTCATCATTTTCTCTTGGTGGCACTGCCTTTCATTGCGAGTTCCAATTCCAATATCCAATTCCAATATCCAATTCCAAGACTTGACTGGCTGCAACTATCCATGTTCAAAAGACATTGACCAACTCCATTCCCATAGACAGTGCCCAGCCAATCACCTCTGCTCTCTCTCGCAGTCATTTACTGCGGCTTCTTGGCAGCGGTAGATCCAGAGATGTAGCGGGTAATATCGGTAGCCTCGTATCCCTTGCGCACGACACCCTTAAAGCCCTCCCAGCCCTGGCGGACCTGAGGGGGAGTGCTCTGGTGGGAGATGGATGCATCAGCACGGGCGACGAGCTGACGAACAGCCTGCTGGACGAAGGAGCTCTGGGCGTAGCGGGCGCGGAAGAAGGAAAGGTAGACGATCAGCAGAACCCAGCTGCCCTTGGAGAAAGTGACAGCGGACAGAACCAGGCGGAGCAACAGGGCGATCTCAAGGCTGGCAACAACGCCCATGCTGGCATCGTAGTACTGCTTGATGAAACGGCCAACAGTCTCGGCGAGAGCGCTCTGCTTGCCGGCGGGCTTGGAGTTGGGGGAGCCGGGGGAGGTAGGGCTGGCGCCTTGGGCCTGGGCCTGGGGCTGGAGAGTCGGGATCAGGTACATGCGGCTGTAGGTGGCCACATGGAAGACGGAGTAGACGCTGAAGGGCAGAAGGGCGAGAATGAGCTGGCGGGAGTACAGCCAGACGAGAGCCATGCCTATGAGAGAGATATATCAAATGAGTTTGTCTGGTTCTTTCACATGCGAGCGGATATCGCCGAAGAAAGCGCAAACTCACCCAGGTACTGCACGTTCTCATCGGAGATCAGCTTGGTCACGATCTGAGGGACACTTCCCTGCACACCGCGGGCAAAGTGGCCCTTGTAAACGACGATTCCATAGGTGACGGCGGCGGAGACGAAGGCAAGGCGATAAGAGAAAACGGCCCACGAGGAGTAGAAGTTGAAAGTGATAAAGGACAGGGAGTAGCGGAGAACCGAGATGAGGAGCGTCAAGTGTCTAAATCCGGTCAGTGATTCTAAATTCCACATGCGATTGTCGATGAGATCCAAAGGTCGACGTACCCGACAAACCAGGCAAACCTGCAGAAAGAGATTGGGTCAGCACTGAAACAGCATCCATTGAAGCTTCACGCATCTGCATGATCTAAGCTAGGGATAGAAAAAAAACCTACTGCAGGGTCTGGGCCAGAGCTTTGAGCCTCTCGACCAGAGGCAGGTTGGCGGAAGGAGGAGGAGCCATGAAGGAGACTCTTTAGGAGGTGTCGGGGGGGAAGGGAGAGTAGATATGAAGTATCAGAGTAGAGCGAGCCTAGGTAGAGAGGATAGCAAGGAAGAAGAGAGGACACGAATGAAGAAAAAAAAGAGGTCGTGAAGGAGGCTGGGGAGCGGGGATGAAGTTGTGTGTTACCTGTGCTTTCCAGCTCGGGAGCTAAGCGCCCTCTCCGCCTTCTGCCGCGGTGACGTCGGATACTTGGATGATGCAATCCAAGTTTATATCTGGGCAGTGGGAGTATACTAGGACATGATCATGATTGCTCTAATGCAATTGCAAGTTACATACGGAGTAGAGCTTAGCAGATAGCTGGTGGAAGTGAGAGGCAGCTGTAGAACCTGCTCTCTCTTCAGATCAATCGGCTCCACTAAGGTGTTCGAAGCACGGAACTTTCTCGGATCTCTTGGGATCTCCATTGCTGTAACTGTCGCTATGCATATGCAAGACCCGGGTCACTCGGATCGCCGCGAGCACCTTGAAAAGGACTTGTGGTCTCAACATTGGGGTTTAGGCTTGACCGCTAGTTGTGGCCTTATCTCGACCCGACATTATCAGAACAAATAGTAGCTACCAAGGTACACCCAGATACCCCGGTAGATTTGTATTCGATTAGACTAGGATATTAAATTAACCAGTTTCCATTGAATCTAATCACTTCGGCATGCTTACCGGCGATCGGGTAGTTACAGGAAGATAGTATCTGTCAAGTTCAACTTGGAGACTGATGAAGGATGAAAGAGGACTACCGGGAACATTACCGGGCCGCCGAGCGAAACCGATATATTGCCGGACATCACCAACGAACTTCGGCTTCTTTTCATTCAGAACTCTAATAAATTTTCTTCTCGTGCCGATTCACATAGAATGACATCTGCCCATCACCCGGTTGAACTCGTAGTTTGCCTTTCATTCAATAGCATCGGTCATGCATAGGGAATAGGTCTCTCATAGCACCGCTGGATCCCAACGTGAAATCAAAATATAGATCAAACAAGAAAACAATAGGGCACTGGTCCACGCCGCGATACACGCGCTCATGCACGGAATTAGTATCTGACCGCCACTCCAAAGGTTGGCGATACCACGAAGAATCCACAGCTTTAATAGTCTTGCCTTCAAATGCCTTATACTCTTCTAGATGATCACGATCACTCTCTACCCCTACAAACTCGAGACTGGCAAGCATCGAAGCTGTTTCCCCTTCAAGTACCAAGCAAACCATATTCCGAGCCGGGGCCATGGAAAACCGCCAGAGAATGAGTGGAGAGTCCGAAGTTGAGATCTAAATTCTTCTCTGATGCGATCATCCGAGGCACCGGAGAAGATCTGTTCATCTTGAACCACGTCTAGCTTGAAGCGACGGACTACTTCATCAATATAGACTTTCTTATTCAGATCTTAAGTGTCGTTCGACAGTCTTGACGAGGTTTTCCATTGCCCGTGGGATATTCTCGAGGGTTTCGGGAGAATAGTCGGTGACGAAAACCCAGAATCCCCAGGTATAGTCACAGCCTAGGCATTCTTGTTCTTCAGTGTAGAGTTTCTCGTAGAATTGTCCTTCTTCGAGTAGACGGCGCGCTGTGTTATCGAATGCTCCGGTGTACTCTGGGGTTTCTGCAGCTGACTCGGAGACCGCGTCTAGCTCGTCTAGGTGCCGGAATGGCAAATTTGATATAGCACCTTGTCCAAATGATCGCGGAGAAAAGTTGCGATACTGTGGCACAGGGCGAGTTTCGAGGGATGGATCTGTTGGGGTCGTTGGGCGGAGGCGGCTGCCATTGGGCCGTCCTCGGGTAGACATTTTGATGGTGCGGAGATGACGGGCGAAGGATCAGAGAGGAGATGAAGTGTTTCACATAGTCGCGAATCTCGTCACCTGACGCTAAGAGCCGAAGCTTTTGGTATCCTCGACTGAAAATCATCCCCCGGCCAGTAAGGCCAATAGCCCTTTTTCTTTTACCAACATAAAGGCAGATTGCCAGTTTGAAAGCGCGATTGAGGTATCTCATGTTGGTTGTGCACCAGCAACTGGAGTAAAGATCGGATTATACTCCTGTAGAAGTGAAGAGGGTCAAATTGATGGACGAAGAGCAATAATCCATGATTGTAGAAATTACTGCTCAGATGAGATGCCGAATATATATACTTCCTAAAAACTCGACAACCTTGGAAGTAGATACTAGTATGAATCTCATGATTTCCAGGGGAGCCGAAACCTCCAAGTTAGTAGCGAACCAAATTTCTACCGACTTTAAATTTTGAATTTGTAGATTACTATATGAATATGCCCAAATAAAGGGGGCGGACGTCCGGGGGTGGTGTTGACAGAAGAGACACCATCTACCAGGCGTGCAAAGCAGTGCCGTAACATTTCAGGTTAACAGCAATAGAAGACTCCCTCTGGCATAAAGGCCTTTGCCATGAAGGGATAGATAAAAGGAATATGCAGAAAATTACGAGATGGGACTCCAAATCTGAACAGCAGACCGGACAATTGAGCTTTTCAGTCCTTGAACGTACATGTGTGTATACGTGTACAAGAAAGAAGCCTGCGGTACAATCAAGCCAATATTTTATTTCTTGCCTTACGAATTCAATTCACAAAATCCAATTCAATTTCACGACTTTGCTCTGAAATTTCCTCAAAGCTACGTCCTAAGAGTAATCGATCATGTGCTCAAAGCAGAGCAAGTTGGCAGTATAATAGAGAAATCCCACAGGTATACCCAAGTATCGAAGAGAGCAATGATAGTACCAGAATAAATCGAGCCATGTCTCTGCCAAAGCACAACGAACCAAGAGACTACAGTCTTAGAACCATGCTATTGAAATTTCCCAATGAATCTTTGCTTCTCAACCGCCCTAGTGTTTACGAGATAGTAGCCAGATCAATCTTAGCCCGCATTTATCAGCCAAACATGACTCAACGCCCATCCCTAACAATCCTGAAACGCACATGGCAAACAACCCCGGATTCTCGACCGCTCGCATGCATCATTCCCCAAAGAGTCGGCATGATCTCCCCGCCGAACCCCGCGAACTATAACCAAGGCTAGCACGCACCCACAACCGCCACCACACAGCGGCAGAATTACGACGCAATACACAACAGAACAGAATATGGAATAGAAATACTAGTACATAAAAAGAAAAGACGAAAGTAAAATATCCATTCAACATACGACGTCAATCGTAGATCATCCAAAAAGGGCATGTATAGGTAGCAAAAACCCGAACGCTCAGACCATTCAACCTAAAAAGAATTGGGTTTAGGTTACTCCTAAACTACTCGTAATGGCCACGTTTGATACTCCTAGATTGAAAATCACATGGGAGGAGCCTCGGTTACAGCACGGAACCCGGAAAAGTAAAGTCAAAGTCAAAGTCAAAGCCAAAGTTAATAAACAAGTTAACTTTCTTCCCGCATGGCTAGTTCGTCTTCTAGATCATCCTAACCCACGCCACCCTTCACACGCAGTATGAAAAGTAACTTGAATATATTGCCAATGCAAGCCATTATGTAGAAAGCGCCAGGAGGCTCGCCTCGCCCCGCGACGCCACGACTCAATATCTCCACGGTCGGAACTCGCCTGTACAATATAAATTAATATTGAAATTATACTGCGTAAGCAGCTGGCGATTCCACGTGGGAATGGAACACGGAATTAACAGACAGATACTGGAGGCTGGCGATGGTGATCCAAGCCAAACTAGACTAAGCTAGGCAAGGCAAGGCAAGGCAAGGGAAGGAAGGTTCTTCGAAAACTCTCATTCCAGTACCACTCCGGTAGGAGGTCTACATACATAGAGCCTTGTGATCGGCGACCGAGGCATGGCTACAGCAACGAACGACTTCAGGGTAGAAAAGAAATCTATACCGTATCCCGTATACGCGAATATAGTGATTGGTGGCAAGAAAGTAGGTTTTCCCCATTAATCAATCGGTGTCAAAAGCTATGGGGTATATGGGGTAACAGTACTCCGTACTACGGATAGTGGCACGATTTCATTTGAAGTGTCCCCGCTTCGGCTTGTGATCGCATCGGGATCTGTACCTGGGGGTTGTGGAATGGGGATGGCCCCATTCCACCTCCGTTCTATTCCCCGTGGGGTCAATGGTACGGGTTGGGCTGATCTACAAAGTATCCATGGGTACTCAGAGGGAATTGACTGGTTCGGTTCGGTTGTTGGAATTTGAACCAGTTCATGATGAGCCGAGCTGTATTGTGATTGTGATGCGGGGAAGTATAAGTTTATCTACTCGCATACGGTAAATGATGGTAGCTACGTAGGATTGGTGGTAGGTAGAAAATTGCAATTGGTTACTGTCTGTAAGGTAATTCGGTACTGTAGATGCATTTCAATTCAATTCAATCCAATTCATCTCTTGTCTTTGCCAAAGCCAAGTAAAATCCTCGGCATACTCATAGCTCACCACAACCTATCGCCACAATTAACTCCTGCATTTCTCCTCCGTATACTCTTCTCTACATACAAGACACCCAATGCCAACCCTCTAACTATAAGCCGCAGTCAATACTCGTAGTAAAATAATCTAATAGACTCCATCCAAGACCCTGCCAGCCACGCACTCACTTACTAAAACCCGCACTAGCACTAGCACTCTCACGCGTCGCTAGCCTAACACCCGTTGAAGAAGTGGATTCTTGCTATGGCTAGCAGACTAGTACAAGGAGTAGTACAGTACTAGTCCTGCTCCCCTCCAATCCCGTTCCGATCTAACGGTTAGTCCACCAATACTAACGCAGGGTACTTTTTCCGTGCACGAGTCGAGACGAAACGAAACGAAACAAAACGAGAACGAGGCTGGCACGCTGACGCAGGAACGGCCTTTTTACCCCGTTCGGCATCCACAGTACCCATACCTAATTCAGACACGCCAAATTCAAACCAAGACAAGACAAGACAAGACATCTTTGGGGTTTGTTTCAGGGTCGTCTAGATGGGCCCTTTTTTGCATTCGCGTACTACGATACTTGTACATTGTCTCAGTCTAGAATTCTCAACTGAAGTGGGGGAATTCTTTGGTGTTTGGGATGGGTGGGGTGAGTGGAGGGGAGGAGAGCCGGTGGTCCTGACTCCTGACTGGACTGTCCCGTCTTTAATCGGCGGAATCGCCAAGTTAACTTAGCCTTTGCGTACTCGTACTTTACTCAGCCTCCGCGATTGCGTTACAATGGGCCTTGTTGTGCACGCGATAGGGGTAACGGTAGGTATCCTTTGGACGGTATGGAGTACAGTAACTATCTGTTCGCGTTTATTCTCTTGTTCTTCGACTTTTTATTACAAGCTTGCCTTGCCTAGCTGTATTCTATCTGATCCGTGCGGCGGGTCAAGATGCCGTGTTCGTTGCGTTTGAGATCGTCGTAGACGGTCCGGTCGGTTGGGACAGGCTATGAAGCAGGGACCACTTGGGCTCAAGTGGACTGGGCTTTGGATTGAAATTCTCTTTTGTTCGAGTTGAGTTGTGGATGGTCTGGAGTTGATTTGGGAGGGGAAGAATAATGTTTCGTTTCAGGAGTCCGTAGTATGTATGGATGGGGATGTGGTGTAGTAAGTACGCGTACATTCATTTGTCCAAGAAAGTATACAGAAAAAGCTTGAAGAAAAGTAAAGTAAAGTCCAAAGACACATACACATTATGACAATCGTAAATCCATATACATAGACAAGTCACACTCGTGCCAGTCACAATCACACCCACACTCACCATCACCGTCAGTCACAGTCGTACGCCGCCCATTTCCATTTCTTTTCCGTAACTCCGAGACAAGAACAGGGGGTATTGGACAAGGGTAGTCTGGATGACACGCCAAGTTCGCCTCCTCTTCCGCGCGCCCCTAGACCATTTTTTCGTAAGATTTTCGAAAATAAAATTTTTCAAACAGCCCCAAAAATGTACGTAGTGAAAGAAAAAAAAGAAAGAAAAGAGAAAGTAGTTAGAAAAAAAAAAAGACATAATTAATCACAACGGGTATCGCTATCGTCCATAACCCCTCGCAAACGTAGTCGAAGGATCCCAATCACGACCCCCGGCGGCAGACTCACTAGGCGGCCGGGGTCCACTGAAACTCATAGAAGGACGCACATACCGCGCCTCCTGCCCGAAATGCACATTCCGGTCATGGTCTTGGTCCTGATCCCCGCCGTGACGGTCAAATGCCGGACTCGTGACGGAGCTCCGGGTATGGCCGTGGCCGTGACCAGGTCCATAACCCATCATATGTGCGGGGCTGGGCGATCGCATATTATACGACTGATACGAATTATCAGGACCCTTGACGGAGGTAGTTGTAAGCATTTCAAAGCCCTTTGAATCGTAACGATCTGCATCCGCAGAAACGAAGTCATTTCGTCGGGAGAAACCTCGGCGGCAGAGATCGAGCCAGCCCGTGAACATAGTTGGGCGGGCGAAGAGGATGAAGTTCCAGAATCCGACGAGGGAGAGGAGATAAACGACTGCGAGGAGGGTTGCTTCGTTGGGACCCAGCGATGAGGCGTAATTGATGCATTTGTTCTTGTTACCGCCCGTTTCCATTAGACACATTAGCCATGGCAGGGCCTTTTTCATATTTGCCGGTGTAGGTTCGACCTCGCGGTCCAGGTCGATGAAGACGACTGCGAAGAAGATCACGTTTCCGATAATGATTAGGACGAGCGCGACGCCGCGCCATTGGAGTTGCAGGACTCGTTTGACGCGGCGATAGGCCTGGCGGGCTGTTTGTGTGCGGACGCTGGATGTGTATGACGGGATACCGGAACTGTTGTCGGTAGTCGAGGCGGATTTGTCAAAGAGCGAGCGCAGGTAGATGTGTATGCAGTAGGCCATTGTCGCGAGCTGTAAGATGAGAGCTGCGGCGGAGAAGGCGATTAATGGGTACCAGTAGTCCTGCTCGCCGTGCTTGATATTAATATGGCAGATTTCGCCGAAGCGGAAGGAGACGCCTGTGATTATCATCATGACTGTGAGTCCGATGGCGGGGATACCGAAGCCGCAGAGGAAGGCCCCCCCACATGAATTTTGGGCCGAGGACGAATTCCCAGCATACTTGGAGATGGAAGGCGATTGTTCGGATGAAACTCCACATTACGACTAGCCAGCCGCCGAAGAGAAGGAATGCGCCTGAAAAGGCGCAGGATAGATCGGTGTACATGTCGTTGGGGGTGATTGCGTTGTAACATTGCTTGGGTTTGGCGCCGAGGGGAATAATGAAGGCGATCTGTGGTGGTTAGCGGGGGGGGTTTTCCGGGAGAACAGTCGCAAGGCCTAGCCTACCTCCATGCAGCAAATACCCAAGGTAAAGCAGATACTCAGATAATGGCGGTTGGTCCATTTGACGGGAAGGACGGCGTAAGATACGAGAAGGAAGATGCATAGAGGGAGAATGGCCACACTGATCCAACTGGCGACATCTACCCTTTTTCGCAGTATCTAGTGATTGAGTCAGCAAAGGGTTCGCGATGGGGTGGGAGCATGCGAGGCGAGGCGAGGCGATGCTGGAGAGAGAGAGACTGACTATCGGCATATCGCCAGTCGGCAAGCGGGCAGGGCAAACAGCAGGTGACATTTTGGAGGGTTTCGCAGTATCGACCGTCGGTGAATCCACCGGTGGAAGGGAATAGAGACTCCTGTAGGAAAGGAGTGGGACAGAGACCATTCAGCGACATGGTTGGAGTAATGAGGGCAAGCCCGGCATGGATGGTAGCGCCCGCGCGACGACCTCACGCGGTGGTAGGCAGGTGGCAGAGGAGGGATGAGAAGAGAAGAGAAGTGGGTAAACTGGGGTATACATCAGGAGTTATAGTGTCCCCTTGAGAAGAGTAGAACAATGGCAATGGCAGTGGCAGTGGATCTCGGCCCACGCGAACGCAGCTAGTGGGGCAGGCCACGGTCCTCGAGAAGTCAATTCTGAATGGACTTTGGGGCCTTGGCGGGGATTTCTTTCTCTGCTGGGCTAAGCGTATTGTATCGTACCAGAGTTGTTACCGTGTGAGTCTGGAAGCGAACTCCCAGGGGAGGGGCCCAGGGGGATGATCTGAGCCTTGTCGGTAGTGTTTGATCAGGGAGAGCAAAGATCAGCAGTTGGTCAGGATCATTAGCCGTAGATGGCTTCCTCCGTTGTTGTTCCATGGTACGCAGCAGGCAGTTTGTGGAGGTGGTAATTAAGGTACGGAGTACTCTTACTCTCTACTCTGCAGTGGTCTACTCTGGTCTACTCTGGTCTACTCTGGTCTACTCTGGTCTACTGCTTATTCTTCAGGGACTGCTTATGCAGGTACTGAGTATTGAATGTACTGGAAGTGTACTACCACTCCCACCAGTGGCGGAAATGTCTTTGATCTTTTGCCATTCCATAAATGATTCATTTTTTTTTCATTCTGCTCCAGGGTATACTAGCCTATTCTGCACTAGTGCGATCCAGACCCAAAAGACTCTCGACCACGCGGAGATTTAATTTACTCGGTTAGCCCCATGCATTCAAGTTAACTACTAGAGTACTACTCTATATCATTGGAATACTGGTACTCCATTGCCACACCCGTTGAGTGTTCCTGTTCCTCTCATGTCCCCTGTTCCTTTCCCCGTCCTGCGAATGTCACCTATACCCCTGTCCCCTGTCAACCGTACCTGTACCACCTATACTAGCGCATTTCAATGTGATCCAACCCGCGCCTCCTCGGCGAACCCGATCCCAACATCCCACACTCCCTTCAATTCGCCATTTCCTGGCTCCAACAGTCCACCACTGCACCAGCATCCCAACACTGATCCTAGCTCTCCCGCTGTACACTGGCCACACCTTCAATCCTGCGCGACGATCTTCGCGCCAATCTACCCAATCACCGCCCAGAATCCATCTCCAGCTGTGATCGCCCCCGGCATTCGTTCTGCCCCTAACCAATCACACTCCCAGCGGACCTTTTCTGACATTTGACATGTCTCTCCTTCAGTAGGATAAGATCAATCATCTCATCTCAGCCCAGCCCAGTCTGGGCCAGACTCACTCATCATCCACCGATCGCGGGGGTTTCTGATTGCAGACTCCCCTGACTAGTGGCTTTCCTTCCAGGTTCCCCTCACCTGACTAACCAAGTCCCGTGCTTACTCCTACACAGTCAGCCTCGCGATAAGCGTTAGCCCGTAGGACCCCATCATAGCTTGCATCTCATGACTCAAACATCTTCCTTGCTTTTTTTGTGCCTTTTACTTTCATCGTCAGATCCGAGATCCAATCCGAGCGATGAGATACATAATTCACGACGTCAAGATAATGAGGGAAAATTACCATCGCGCCTGGTGCTTCTCCAATAGTTCGATCTATTTAAATCTGACATGCGGTACAAAGCTCTCGTTCGTCGGATTTTAAATGCGAACGGAACCCGTGAGAGAACCTCCTTCTATCACAGAATATTTTGATCTCTTGGGATCCCGATTTGGTATTCCTGAGCGAAGGTTTCTCTCGGGTGTGGCAGTATAGTTGTCGGAGCCGAAGAGTCCCAAATATTCCTTAGCATAGCATTCTCCGAGTCTACTGTCATGCATTCTACTTGAACAATGACTACTCAATGGACAGCCAATACCGCAGTAGTAGGTATATCAGTGGCTCTACTACTAAGGGCAGCCACCAATATTAACTTGAACTCTCTCAAATCAAACCCCTAAAATCAGTCTAAAAATAACCTCCAGGAAGCTTATAGCCTTACACATCATTTCTTGCCATGGGAATAACAATCTGCCCTCAAAGCTTCTGTCTCACCCTCCAACAAACATTGCAAGTCTCAAGACTGTGAATTATACAAACGCAGGATTCAAGTTATACACTTTTGTTTGCCCGAATGGTGGAGTCATGTGACTACGACCTTCTATATATACCACATCTGCATGACTACTGGCATTCTTCTTTCTTTTACCACTAATTTTATACTGTTATTAGTAGTATACCGTTTTCCAAGTTCGTCCTCCTCAGGCTGTTCCAGCTAGCTCTGGAGTTCATAACACTTTGAATATGCGCTCACCCTCCCCTTCCCCTCCCCCGTTGACCTATCTTCCTTTCTAGAAATGTCTTTGCTAGATGTTTCAGAAGGAAACTCCATTCCCCTCCTGAGAATAGAAAGACTCCGTGCCTTAGGTGACTATTATGGTGCGCCTTCTACTACCACCATCCGAGCCATCACGTTCTACTAGTACAACCTCACTAGTACCTCTTTATTCTTAAAAATCACGTATACTCTTTTCATATTTCCCAAAAAATCACTGTTTATAAGTAGGTACCCCTGCCTACATATCTTTGAAATCATTCCGCTCCCGAGCGCGAAATTTGGTCGCGGGCGAAGGTTATTTATCACTGACATAATGCATCTTGTTCGTGAGTCGGATCTCTCTTACCAACTCCTCCTTGCTCCTGAATTTATATCCCTGGTCAATTTCTAACTAGTATATCTGGTCGAACAGCAATCTGCCCACATATACCGAGACCGATGATATGGGACTAGGCGAAAGCTTCATTGCAAATTAATGGTGGCAAGGCAGGCTCTGCGTACATGGACGCTGGCCCGGAAGAGCTCGCAGACCCACCATGGCGAGCATCTACATGAGAACAGGCAACCCAGCGATTCGAGCCGGAGATTTCCGAAGAAGTCACCGCACTGCGCTTGCGAGTATGCCAGCCTCAAATGGCGGGTTCGCTCGATGGGTGGTCTGCAACTGTTGATTGTTTTCCCTAAAGAGATGAATGGCTGTATGTACGTGTTGGAGCAGAATTTCGACGATTGGGAGGTCGACATATGGAGCACATCTGTGGAAGCCAGAATATAGAACGTTTATACGTGGGCTGGATGCACTGATCGTGGATTACATTGAACCCCGACCATCGGCTCGCCATTTTTATTGAATGGATGGGATTTTGATAGAAGCATGGACTGGTAATATCTTCTATCGGCACTTGATTCGAAGACTGCGATCTAACTTCAGGTATTGAATCACAGGGGGTCTGGGTGCCCTATCCCAAAACCCTATATGGAAACGATAATTCGGAAACCGGAGTTTGATTACCTCTGGGTACACCGCTGAATAATTTATACTGTTCCAATCGCCCGTCCTAGCTTATATATTCAAGCTACTCGGAGTCCTTTGACGAGGATTGAGAAGAGAAGAAAATGAAGGCGAAATCCTGTCCTGGCTATGTTTACCCCCATTATATTATTTATTAACGCCGGAAGCCGATTGCTACCGACCTCGGTCCTTCAAGGTTCGTAAACTCCGTGGTCAATCGTGAAATTACTCTAAATACTAAGAGAAAATGGACAGGTCATTATATGCACAATGCGCCAGCCGTCTGCTATGCTATTCCAGCAGTACAAAAAACTCCTTCTCGCAGCAGTTCAATAGATTGCTGCTCTATGCAAGGGGTGGCAAGACAATTTATCCTTTACTGGCAGTGCGTCTCCATAAACTTCACTGGAATACCCGAGCAAAATGGGAAGTGTCAATTTCCTGGCGATTTCAGCCCCGCCGGATATATGCTGGATACTACCGGGCTGCGCAAGGCTCCCACGCAGATATTGACGGGATGCGGTCTGGAAACAATGGCCCTAGAAAACCGATGTAAAGGTTTGAGGAAACTTCAAGGACCCCCTGCATGATATATAGACACTTGGGCAGAGACCAAGGATCTGGCTCCCTTCAATGGACTCGGAGGATTGAACTTGAAGGGATTTTTGGGTGGGTTCCAGTGCCTGGGCCCAGCCCTTCGGTATGCCTAGAACTCGATGAACTCTTTGGTGAAGATGCAGAGATTGCAAAGGAGATTATCAGAGATTGGCTAGCAGAGGCGTGGTACGAATATCTTCGCTGCTTTGAACTGACCAAGCGTCTTGAGAAGAGGGAATATGGGAAAAAATCCTTCTTCTACCGCATCGAAAACGGCATGCTTGTAGATGATCCTGAACTAGAACTTCTGCCCGATGAGATGGTGCACGCATCTGTTGAAAGCGAGTTGTTGAGCGTGCAGTTCCCTGCCCCCGAGGCAGAGGCGGGTGATGTCTAGGTCCATGTGGATGTGAGGTGTTGCATGGGAAGATGGCGATCTTTTTGTTTCCTTTTGTTTCTTTTGTTTCGAATTGACCAAGGGGCGGGCACTTTCGGGTATGCTCCGCCTTGCCTTCCAGTTATATCTCTCTTGATACCCTTATATCCTGTCATCAGGTGCGTATTTCTTTTGGCCAAAAATATACTGACAAAGGCTCTTCTCATCTTTAGACTATTGATGTTCCTTCGCGGTGTGGTGTGTCCCTCCCTTGGTTCAGCTTACGTCCTCTTAACCCAGCCTCACTTCTCGGTGAGTATCACAAGCTCCGCCCACAGGCCGAGATTTCCCGGATTTCTCTCCGATAAATTGGGAGATAGAACGACGAAAGTGTCTCCCGAAGCGAAAGTGACTGGCATTGACTGTAAGTATGTTGTATGTCGCCCAGTCCCCACTTGCTCTGACTACCTCGAGGACGCTGTTGCCTTTGTGGATGACCAAACGTTCGACCGCCAGCTTCGTCAATCTTTCGAAATGAAATGCCGCCCAAACGCCAATGGGAATAAAGCATTCGGCTGGTTTACTGCGAGCCCGCCATTACTTTTTCTGACAAGCGTCAACCACAAGAAAAGTGCTTTGAGAAGGTTTCAACGCGGGAGTGCGTTCGGCATTGACCTCAATTTAGAGGATTCGTAGGTGGCATGAGTCGGGCCATTCTACCCTCCGCCATTGTCACTACTATGATCATATGGCCAAGTAAGTCGTAAATTTTTTTTTGCAATTTTGCTCTTGTGTAAATAGCCTGAATAGTATTAATTTGATATGTTGAGAGAAGCGAAGTATGTATGTCCACAGTGATTGTAAGGCAGCAAGACTTGATGCCTCAGGCGACAACTTTGGCGCGGCTTCCCATCCTATTAACTATCCTTCTTCCTTCTTCCTTTCACTACCAACTTTATGCCATCTTCATTCTCTCCATCTCCATCCGTCGCATTGTATGCGCAACTCCTATTGACATTTTCCTTTTTCAAATCCACCTGCAATACATGTTTACAGTCAACTATTAGAATCATTCCAATGCCGCGTCTGCTTTGATCATGTCTATCTTGCACTCCCCGGAGAACGAGTCCAACGAATTACCTCCTGGACGATTTCTCAAAGGTTGTCTTATTCTCACGAAATAAAAGACCGGTGGGGGGCTGTTCGGAGCACGTTTTAGGTGAAGTGAAGTACCCAACCCCTCATCAACTTGTAATTCAAGCACTGGTTGACCAAGCTCATGACATCCTGCCCTCCTACAGCAAGTAGGGTCGAAGTGAGTAGAGAACCCATCGGTGGACATAACCCATGTTGGATATTTTTTTGAACTCGAAATATGCTTGGAGGCTCCATCAGGGTTGGACCCGCAACTATCGCCAATGTACTTCATACGATGGGTGCCATCTTTATTCTTTTTATTCGCGAGCAAAGACAAGTTGCGCTCAAAAAGTTCGTCCTCCGAAATGACACGCTCTTTCGCAACCCATCCTTGATTAAACCTTTCGTGTGAGTCGAGCTTTAAACCCTCTGGAATCTCCGAAGCGACCAAGTGCTGACAGCAAGCATTAGGAAAATATGCCCCTCTCCCGAGATCTGTCCATCTAGTAGTAACCATGTAGAATTCATCGCCGACTTTTCGGGCATCCAGCCTTGAAACGTCTTTGCATTGGTTACACTTCACCTGATGATTCGCCGGCCGGCTTATCTGCCAACCGACGAGAAATAGCGTATTTAACCTTCGCAGGAGTGGGCGGGAACATCCTCCTTAAGCAGTAGCATTCGAATATGTAGCGTTGCAATGACCACATGGTGATAGCACGTTTCGCTTCCTGATAAACCCCCGAAAAGACTGATGCAGAAGTGGCCGATGAGTTGTATGCACAAGCATAAACTAGAAGCGTATTTGCAAAGGCTGGAGAGCGGAAAGTGGATGCGTGGTTGAACTGATTGCAGATGAGCACACGGCAAATCCTCTAGGTACTGCAGTTCCTGGATGGCAACATTGTGCAGAGACGAGAGATCGATGCCATATTCTGGCCCGTATTGGAATCTTCTTATCGCAAGATTTTGGTGATTCAAGCTGATTCGAAATAATGAGGCTCTTTTAGTTGGCTCAAATGAAAGTTTGAAAGTTCAAGCAAACGGCACTTATCCATAGGATAATGATAGGGTGGCTTCAAATTCCGCCAGAGGTGAAGATGGCCGCAGTCAAAGCACGGATAATAGGGTGGGAGATCCCGAGAGAGCCTTGTAAGAAAAACATTGATTCCGCTTCCGTGAGTACCTGAATATTCATACCCAGTGAGTTCCTGACCGAGTGATCCTGGCGGACTGGGCATAAGGAGCGGCGGCAGGTCATGGCGGCAAAGTGCCAGGCAGAGGCGGTCGATGGGCGACAGTAAATCGACAATCAGAGGAATATTTCCATAGGAAGATCTGTCAGTCTTAGCCCCTGTTGGTCGCGGGACGCGGGAGCTGGCGTTTCTGGATTTGAAGGAGAATTATTGTCCATGATGAAGGTAGTGTCGATTATGGCGGCTGCGGCGATGACGTGAGTGGTGGTGACAGTGATGAGGATGGAGAGGCCGGTAGTGAAAGATGACGGACGTAGAAGAAGACGGAGAAGAAGAAGACGGAGAAGAAGAAGACGGAGAAGAAGAAGACGGAGAAGAAGAAGACGGAGAAGAAGAAGACGGAGAAGAAGAAGACGGAGAAGAAGAAGACGGAGAAGAAGAAGACGGAGAAGAAGAAGACGGAGAAGAAGAAGACGGAGAAGAAGAAGACGGAGAAGAAGATATGGACTATATTCTCTTTCAATTGCCGGGTTGAGGCAGGCCGCTGCCTGAGAAGGCCACCAGTACGGATGACCAAACAGTGCAACGACCGCAATGGCTACCACATGCAAGTGATTCTCTGATAGGCCTCAGGCAAAACCCCCCTCAAGACTTTTTTGTCTTGGTCTCTGTTTTATCAAGAGATACAGCTGAGAGTTTTTTTCCTATCAGTTTATGTTAATAAGTTGTGGTCTCGAGAATAGGCCTGCCAAACACCGTTCGTCTCTGCTAAGGGTCCCGTGACACCTTCAAATGAGGCTTTTAGGATTGCGACGAGCAGGGACCGGGTCTTTATCTATCCCCGACGAATGATGCTCCGTACTGGATCTCGACTCGGAGGGGGCCTTCTCAAAGCCCACTCGCAGTATTTTCTACCTGAATTTGTCGTGTGTGGTGCAATATGAAGATATGGGTGACATTCTGCCTTTAGACGATCTATCAATCTCTGTTTAGTTCTTCTTTATATGATTATGATCGTGGCTCATGGTATACGGTCTACTCATTGACATCCACCTTGGTTTGCTTCTTCCACCTCGGTGACCTGCGGTAAAACCACCTTCTCCTCTGTCCTCAATCTTACTGCATCCTCGAGCAATGCTAGAACTGTCTCCTGGTTAGTCTCTCTCGCCACTAGGATGGCCGTCTCGCCGTACCGATCCCGTGTACACGGGTTGGCCCCAGCTTCTAGTAGAAGTGCCACGACAGCCGACCAGCCATGCTGTGACGCGATGAAGAGTGAGGTGCGCCCCGTTTCCGTTTGCGAGTGTACATCTACCCGACCAGTGTCCAGAAGAGCCCGGACGATCGCAACATGGCCCCGTGCAGCGGCCTGCCAGAGCGGCGTCGCTCCGTGTATGTTTGGCAAATCCGGGTTCACACCAGCTGCCAGAAGTTGCTGGGTTTCGAACTCACTTCCTGCCTTCGCAGCGTTGCAGAATCTCACAATAAGGTTCATATTTTCCATTACTGCATCCGGGAATCGCTGCTGGAAAAGGGCAAGGGTTCGTTCCTGTCCGGCGGTGGCGGCCGCTTCGATTACAGAAGGGCAAATGGTTGCTGTGTCGTATTTTCCGGCGTCCTCGAGGAGCCGAGATACTAGCGCGTAGCTGCTGAATTCGTTGGCTGCCGCTGCCCGGAAGACCTGGGACGTGATGATTGAGCTTGGTAGCGGGCCACTGTTCAAGTTGCGTAGCATCTCGACAACCTCTTTGCCGTTTTCTCTGTTTCTGACGGCGTTGAGGAGTAATTCTTCATTCACGGTAAACCCACCGGAGCGGTGCCAAAGAAATTCAATCATCTCGCTGCCATAGTGACGGTTGGCAGCTGCTGCCAGGAATATATCAGAGTCCACGGATATGGCTTGTTTGTGACCCAGGATGGTCTCCATGATTGCCTTGCTTCCATTACTTGCCGCATCACGACATAATTGGTCTGAAAAATGAAGGTAACTGTCTTTGGAAATATAAAACTGGAGAATCTTCTCTCCGTGGACGAAGTTCCGCACAGTGGCGTTGAGGACGTCCTCGTCAAGAGGGTACCCACCCGTCTTGTCCCATATGAAGCGGATTGTTTCCAATCCGTCGGTGGCATTAGAGGTTGCACTGATAATAGCCCGTTTACTGACGACGATATTACCAATCGTGTCCCATATCACCTGCAGTGTCTTTCGCCCTCCGCGTGGATTGGAGACGGCCGCTTCAACGATCCGCTGGCCAGTGACCAGCTGACTGCCGTTTGCCTCCACCCAAAGATGCTTTAAGAGGGCTCGGTCATGACCCTCCGTCATTGCAGCAGCAATGATCATACCCGTCGTGACGGTTCTATGCCCATTCGACCGCCACAGTGCCTTGATGATTGCGTAGCCTTGTTCCCCGTTGCTTGCCGCTGCGCGAAAGGTGTCTTTGTCAATCGGTTGGATCGACAATCTCCCATCAAGCATCTCGCCTTGAGGAAAATGCTGAGAAGATCTCCATTCGAGCAGTATCTCTAGGAGCTTCTCCCCATTCGTCAGATTCAGTGCAGCGCATTTTAGCGTTGCATTCGTCACGGCTTCTGGCTCTGCGCTTTGCAGGAGACGTGTCAGAATCTCTGTCGCCTTTGCTCCCTTGTTCTGCGCTGCGCTGTTTAAATCGCAGTTTGTGGCTAAATACATCGGATACCAATCAAGGAGCTTCTGGACCACTCCGAAATGGTTATTCAGTGCCGCTGCCTGCAATGGAGAATCTCCAACTTGGTTTGTTTCATGAAAGAAATTTGTCTTGCATGCCATAAGATACTCGAGGATGGCCATTATACCAAATACACTGCCGAGGAAAACCAGGGTGCTTTTGCTATTGATAACACTGCGTAGCTTCGTTTGAAGAGGCCAAGGTGCCGTCAACCAACAGTATTCACATGCCTCAAGCCACTGCAGGTAAGGCGATGATTCCTCGCGGTGCGAAATGAAGCTGCTCAACTTGGCGGAGAGAAGCTTATCCAAGCCGTCCTGTCCAGTCTCGCCCAAACTCACATGGCCGGGCCAAAACAATACCGCATACTGATGCAGGGCACTTTGTCCATCTGGTGACGAAGGCCAGACGACGCCTCGGCAGAGAAGATCGAGACAACACCCTGCAACCACAGAGTGGGATTTTGAGAGACAACAATCCGGGGTGCTTTCAAGATACTCGCGTACAGACGTGTGAGCGAGCCGGAAGACATCCTGCTCCTGATCTAGAATGACTAGGTTGCGGCAGACATCGAGAAGCTCGTGGGACCCAACTTTCCGTCGCATACCCAGCGAGACGGCATAGATTAGATCACTAGACGGCAAGGGTCTTTGGCAGCAAACAAGCCATGCCAGTGTCCGCTTGGCCAGGCTTCGGCTGTGTTTTGCTTGTGTACGGATTGTACCGTGTATGTTTGCGTATGATTCCTGCAGCGTTGACGGCAGACGGCCTAGTTCGGCTTCGACATCCTCGGCGAGTTTGATGCGTTGTTGGTTGCATAGATATTCTATCTGCAAGCTGGCCCATCGGAACCTTATAGCTGTTCTATTAGAAGACTTTTCTTTTTCCTTGTTTGAAGGGGGTATGAACTCACATTCCTTGAGCATCGCGAGTCAATTTTTCTTCAATGGCACTTTGCAAGGCCGCTGGTACCATTCCTCGGATCAGCCTTCTATCGTCGATACTCTTCGCCACTTCATGAAGGACGAATTTGGCGATATCATCCGTATTATGACGTGGTTGAATGCAAATGGCGGGCGCTGAAGCCAGATGGTCCAGAATGTCACCATCATCCCGACTAGAAAGAAGCACTTTCACCGGAGATGCTGCTTTTTGCGTGATTCTCCAAATTGCTGTGAATAGTGTGTATCGCCGGGTCGGATCACATTCATCAAGTGCGTCCACGATTATGGTTGCTGGGTGGACCTTCACAAGTTCTAGAAGGATAGCAATCGTATCGTCCATGCTGGGCTTCCTAGGGCTTTTTCCATACGATATCGCCTTTGCCTCCTCGTAGGCCCGAACAAGAGTTGTCCGGTACTGACGCTCGGGTTCCATCCATGCCATCTGCTCGAGAAGACACCGGAGCACTTCTTCTGGGTTGGAACGCCCAGGCTCTGCTGGATTTTCGTGGCAGTAGAAGTAGCAGACTCGGGTAGTGGGATATGAGGGGCTATTATACGCTGTCATATAATCTATCAAATATGACCTTGGCTTTATTTCAGCATCTCAGAGCCACAAGTCGTGCAAGGGGATTCCAACATACACTAGGGTAGTTTTTCCGCAGCCAGCTGCAGGTTAAAAAGACAGTCAGTTACGCCGGCAGAAACAGGGGGTTCCAGAACATGCTATTCACTAACTTACGGATGCCGCGGACATGTAGAACGGAGGAAGAGGATGAGTTTCTCCATCGTATCAACTCCGGGTTATTTTCGATCCATTGACAAGTTCCTGCCAGCCGTTGTGCGCAGACTGTCCGATGATGCTCTAGGTAGGGGGTGGAACATAGCCACTCTCGGAGCTTCCGGGTCTCGCCTTCTACGCCGAGTTGAGGATCATCCGTACGTTGTAAGACATTTGACACACTGGTTTCGTACTGACCTTTCATGGTACGGTGAAGCTCATCGATCTTGGGAAGACTCTGTGCGACGGCTTTCTCGATTCGGCCCAGGGCGTTCTGGAACTGTGAGGCAATATCTTCCATTCGGAGAGTTGGAATTAGAGGAACGGGTTCAAGGGGAAAAGCCGGTATTTGCCTACCTGCTGCTGCCGTAGAAAGACTTATTCGGAGATCGTTCAGCACGTCTCTGGTCTGGATATCATCTAGCATAGCGTTGGAAAAAGAATTCCGGTGGCAGATGTGGTTTAGTTTAAGAAAGTGTTTCGATCCCACTCACATTCAGCATTCATTATACTAATCAGCTTGGCCGTGCAGTTGTCTGAAGTGGAAATACTTTTAATAAGCCATTTAGTACGTTCCTCCGGTTGAAAGGTGCTCGACACAGTTCGCCCTATGTACATCTTGGCATGAATATGTTAAAGCTCCATATGGGGACAGACTGAGGACCCTCACTGAGTTTGCTTTTCAAGAAGTACCTCCTCGCCGTCAGCAGGTACATCAAAACATCCACATACATCGCCTTGATAGCATCTTCCAGCTCCTTCTGGACGGACGAAGCCCGACCCAGATACACCCTTTCGTAGATCGCATATCGCGTAATGACAGCTGCCATAGCCTCCACGCCCTCCATCATGCACGCCATCGTCTCAATATCGCTAACGACGACCCGGAGAAGGAATCGGATACCGCCCCATGGGAGCGACATATGCGCCGTATCATACTGCACGCAGGCGTCGCCTACTTCGATGAATCGCTTCACCCACAGGGCTGCCTTGTCGAGATATTCGTGAAGGACGACGGTCTGACCATTATGACTGAGCTTCCACCGCCGATCTAGACACTCTTGTTGGCGGGCGCGCACGAGGGTAAGAACATCACGGAGTATGTCGACTCGTTTGTGGCACTGCCAGTCGATGGCGTTGAAGTCACTGCTGTTCTTCTGGGTTTGGGAGAGCTGGTCCACGACTTGGGTCCAGAGGTCTTTTGTGGCCCCTGCCATGCTACACTGATATATGAATGGTGAGCTCGATATAAAATGCAGATAACCTGATCGAGTTCAGGTTGGTTGGATTAAGGATGGAAATATGGAAAAGAGTTATGCCGTCGATGCTCTCAGGCTCCCGACGTGGCCGTCGTTCACTGCAGTCTCTTCTATTGGCCGTAGTGCAAGCCACCTATAGCCTTGCATCTTGCGGCCGCGTCTGCAGCATTCTCATCTTTGTGCTACTACATGAGGCATCTGTCGTATCGGACACGAAAAGGACAATCTCTACAATCGGTGTTCCTCAATCAAATAACCCGCCACGGTGTTTTAGCAGTACTCGTTCAGTACGTTGAAGAGAGAAATAAAAAGAGATACAGTCCTCGCATCTGCCAGATCACCCCGCTCCCCTTATCTTGAGACTCCGCACATTTTAAACCATCGCGATACTTTATTCAATTTCTGATTTCGGGTCTAAAATCGGAATCTTCGCACATCATCAATCGGTCTTCCAACCCCCCAGTCAAGATAGTCCCTGAGAGAGTTAGCCGAAGGAAAGGATTATGAGACCTCGGGAATGCTTTACCGTTGACTAAAGCACTGTCATCGACTACTCGAGTGCCACATTTCGGGCATTCTTGAGTTCGGTATATACTGATGAAGGTATAGCCACACATTGGCTGTAGGATAGATATCGAGTTGATCAACAGACGAGTTCCACATTGTGGCGTAGGGCGAGAGGGGTCGACTTACACACACAACCATGGTGGTTTCTTTCGTTTGGTCCGGAGGGAAAAGTAGACGAGCAGACAGGCAGTGCGCTGGAGAAGTACAGGAGAGGAAGCATCCCCGCATGCTTATATCACTCTCTGGTACGAATGTGGCATCAGCTGCCCAGGTGACACGAAAGCCCCCTTTCCCCGCAGGAACAAGGCTGCGGGTCCCAGGCCCGGTGCCATAAGTGAAGGCTCCTCGTGATTTCGTATCTGCCGTCCACATTACTCGTATTTACACCACTGCCCCCTCCACCCCTCCAGTTCTTCCCGAGATTACCTCGACCCCATTCTCAACAGCCAACCTCCACTTCATTCCTCCATCCAGCAACCATGCATTGCGTACGTTCCCCCTTCATAGCCCCTTATGGTTGCAAGGCGTTGAGCTGATTCCTTTGTTACCTGATACTATAGCCTCACTGTGGCATGGAGCCTCTAGGACTGGATCCGGCCGCAGGCAAATACTGGTGTCAGTCGTGCAAGGAATACTTCGTGATCGGTCATCCACATTGAGGCCGAGCCGCTCCGACTTATCAGATACAATTTATCAGTCGGTCTCACGGTGGTGTTTTTGGATTCATAGAACACTATGCTATCCGTACGCCGGTAGTTTATTGTGTGGCTTGGGTTGGTTATCGGTGATCTCGGGATGGTGGATTTCTCGAATCGGGTCAATGGAGGTTTTGGGCTGGGGGGAAGGGCTGCGCATTATTGGTGGGTTGTTTGATGATAGCATTCTGGGACACGCTTAGACAAGGACTAGTTGTACCCATTTAGATCCTAATTGACACCTTTGGATATACGGTTTACATGGGATATTGGTATATCATTTGATACAGCGTTTCAGCTGTCAAATTGGTAGACCTAAAGGTGGATCAATTCTCATCAACCTCTAGTCGACATTTTGGGTATCAAATAATGCATAGACACCTAGTCCAAGTCTCACCAGAGACATGAATTATGAAGTAATTTTGGAGAAACAAAGAGCAGATTCTTAATGATAGGAGAATAAAGAAAAATGTCCTTGACCGCACCAGTAGTCCTCATGAATGAAAGGGACAAGTGTAATAACATGTTTGTAGGAAGAGTATATTGTACAGTGCGCAAGTTTAGGACTTTATCGCAGGTCTCAACCTAGGGATTCGCTCAGATGGGCCATAGGGACCACCGCCTTCTTCTTCTCAGGGCCGGTCTGAGGCCTATGGGTGGAGGAGTATCGAAGAATTTTACTTACACCTAGGTAGTCAGGAGTCGGTTGGTAGCTGCTCGGGTGAGAATAGGCTGAGCGACGCTTCGGCGTCGCGCCATTCGGTGATTGGTGAGTGCGTGATAGATGGGATGAGACCGGGTGAGATTCAACCTCTGCCATGTACTGAAAGTGCTTTGACCCCTCCGAGCTAAAGTGAAGCATACATCATTGGCCAGTCTCACACTCTCTCGACCATTAGGGCACTTGGCGTATGCACATTATGGCTAACTTGGGGGCAAATGAGTCGACTTTCCGAAGTACATTGTACATACTTCACCCGGGTGATATCCGATCTAAGCAAAAATCGACAATCCTTTGCATAAGAACAAAACTCGACTTACAAAACTAGTCCGATCTGTCTCTCAGTAATCCCTTATTCCTTCATGGCGAAGTCTCAGCCTTTAAGTTTTGTCACGCAGTGACAACTCCCTCTGCTTTATTTAAAGTAACATCTCCGCACTGCCACCCTTCCACAGTTTACCGTTAGCACACTTTCCAAGGGTCGTGTTCCAATAGGGATTTAGGGCCCCGGGGTAGGTGCCTTTTATTACTGAGGCCTAGCGGCATTGCCAGCTCGCACTTTATGCATGCAGGACCAGGGTCTACATCCTTGTCTGTATTGCATCTTCCATTGCTTTCCATCGGCCGGTGCACCGATCGCACGTCGTTTGTCATTAGGTAGATAGATATACCTTCGTAGATCCATCGATCTTCATCTTTCTTCCATCTTACCTCTCCACCTCTCTCACTAGTTATTTGAAGGCCCCTCTCGTTCTAAAACTTGCAAGCAGAGATATTTGAAGCCTGCTCAGCCTATTTTCAACATCCCCTAGTCCTCCCCTTTGACCCCATTACCACCAAAGCAATAGTAGCTGTCATTGTAATTTACTAAAAAAATTATCCGGTAACAAAATGGCCACACGGGCAGGAGTAATCGAGCTTCTTCAAACTTCATGCTATTCTTGAAGGCCCAGACTAAAACGCAAAGGAACTTGAATATCTAGTTGGGTATATCGGTGATGTGTCAAGCTGGCCTTGAATTTCAACTCCGTTCCTACTAATTAACTTCAAATCGAGGCCAGTCCCAGAAGATCATCTTTCATGAAGCACTTTCTGTGGCCAGCACCAAAAATAAATGAACTGCCTTTCCTCACATTCTTGTCCTTCCAAACGCCTCTTGAGCAATCGCCGGCGAACCTTTGATATGGTTCGATATTATTGTATCATACAAAGGTTTTGCTACTGCATTAACACAGGTTCATCGCACTGATACTACGCAACCTGGCTAGCCAAGACTCCCTGTTAAATACAGTTATCACCATAATTATATCTCACATATAAACCACTCATACGAGTTGCCGGGCTAGCTGCTTGCTTCTCTAGAAGGTTCCCATAGTCAACCTTTCACTCCTGGAAAATCTTGAGCTTCATTTTTACACAAGAGAATAATCTTCTACTCTCGAATCAGACTTGAGAATTTGCGATCTGCATTTGTATTGTAAATAAGCCCGGCGGCGCTCAATTATCGCTTGTCCATATTAATTCATCAAATACAGCAGCAAAACATCTCGAAAGGCCATGTTAAAAGGCCACGAAGCAAAAAATACTATGCTATGCTGGTTGCGGTAAACAAATAAGCCCCAAAACATGCATCAGCTCTGATACTCTTCACAGCACCTGTGCGGCGCTAAGCTAACTTCACCTTCCGCAGCAATGTCAGAATTTCCTTTTGTCCAATAGCTATCTTGGGCCAGCTTCAGCTGACTGGCCAATTCTTCCTTCTTTTGATGATGGCCTGGCAACTATCAAGTGAATTTCGACAAGGTGCTTCTCATCTCATAGGACTTAATTATACTGTCCTTACAAAGCTAATCGCTTTACTGCACACGTAGAATCAGCTTTTAAGTGAAACATATTTCGCAGGATAAGCGAGTTAGAATTAGCTAACTGTCGGCCGAGATAAAAACCCAGTGGGAAAAACTCCATACAACGACAGAAAGCCTCCAACCTTCACAGATACCCATCAAACACGTTGGTCAATAGAACATAGAGACTAATATTGCTTTTTGTACATATTTCATAATTTTCGAAGTTCCCCCGTTCAAGGACGTTTCATAAACTAAGAAGACCCTGAGTAGGCTAGCAATTGAATGTAGTCCAGCCACGTTGACTTGTGCACTCCTGGGCGAAGGCCTGTATCTCCGAAGTGTTGTACGAAGTACAGTAGTCTTCGGACTTTTTCACACAGTAACACATATCACTTGAAATGTCGTTACAGATTTGCAGTGTTCTATTATAATCACCACTGACAGATCCACCGGCCAGCTTGCACCTTTGTCCGCCAAGGAAGGCGCAGGTAGCAGAGGAAAAAGGGACATAGAGCAGCAAAAGAAGTACAAGAGTCTTCATGTTGAATAGTAGACGAATTGGAGGTATAAAACCACACAGAAGACGGGAGAGTCAAGTTAGCTCAATAGAAGTGAAGGCCTCCAGGGCTAGTTTGGCTGTTTGAACTTCCACAGGCATTTGGGAAAGAAATATGTAGTTATTTATCCCTCATTTGGCTAATAGAAAGAGGAGCCCAATAGTTGTTAAGTTTTAGTTGTGGTCATCATGACATCTCAGACCTAGAATAATCCATATTGAGGACTTCAATAACTCTAGCTCAACTCCCCACCACCATTCGTTCGGTTAAGGATCCGAAAGATCCAATGCAGGACTAAACGTCAGTCTGGTGCTGATTAGAGTTCGACAAGCATTTCATGGTTTGGCTGCAATGCAGCTGACGAGGAAACCGCACCACTATTTCTTCGAACAAAAAGGATAGACTCAGAGATCGCAAAGCCCCGATTATACTTTTTCTATTTATTTGCTGTCCGTCTGGACAGATTGGCTGTAAGCTCGTGCCAAGTTGATGCCGATCGGTTCCCTCAGGCGGATTGTGATTTTGACAGCGAGGATCCACGGATGGCCGAACCGTGGATGAATTTAGCACAAGGTTGCGGGACTCGGAATGTCCTCCTGCAGTGCCCGTTATACACCAGTCTGCGGGAAACCATGTTGAATAATATCTGGTACAAAACGGATCTGGGGCGGACAGCCGACTACAATACCATTGTCTCAGACTCGCAGGCCATTCGCTACGTGGCCGAATTCATGCATCGAACAGGGCTTCTGGGTCAGTTCCGCCATGTGGAATATAACGAGGTGGAAGCTGAAGCCAACATCAACACGCTCAGCGAGAGCGGGCACTAGGAGGTGAAGACGCTACGTATAAGGAAGAATACTGTCAACTGGCGACTACGAGAGGTCGTACAGGCGGAGGAGCTACGTCTACATCGAGGAACAACTGCAGGAGGAACCAGGGCGTAACTGAGGTTATGTCTGTAGTGGCGGGGATGGGGGAGACAGTGGGTGGTCGCAGGGCGCTGGGCGAGCTGGCAGTAGCCGATTACATTCATTGTGGGGGTTTCATTACCGTTTTGTGGGAGTTATTACTTGTTCTTCTATGGCAATACGCCGTATCTCCTTTGTCTTTTGTTACCATGGGCGTGGCGTTAGGATGGTTCTGGTTCCCGATGGAGGGAACGCCTATATGGCCACGGCGCTCACTAGCTAGGCTGCATTAGGTTAATAGAATCTTGAATTGAATTGAATTGAATTGCGGGACTCGGATGATCGACATTGATCATGTGGCGTACCTAGGCTGCGGCAGGACCGCGGTTGTGGGGGACCTCAACCCAACCGGACCGCTGCGGTTCGGTTGCGCGAGTGACTTTTTGAGTACCATGCGAACTGCAAGGGCCGCAAAGGACCGCAATATTTATAAAAAAAAAGTGTAAATATGCCAAGATTTAGTATCTTGGTACAAATAAGCATTTGATTGGTGACCTCACATAGTCAAAAGGAGCAAGAAGAGTGTAATTTAGCTATAACGGATCACCTGTCGCTGGGGCTGTAGACCGTAGCATCAGAAAGGATTCGTTCGCGCTCCCTTGTAGGGAGGCAATATGTCTATATTGTAGTGGATTCTATATATAGAGGGAAGGCAGAAGGGACAAAAACGAGACTTGACTGCGCGAGAGATAACGAGCTACTCGCGAAGGTAAGCAACTGACTCTCGTGGGGGCAGTTGTAGGAGGAAGAGGCCCTCTGTAATGTCGGTGTAGATATCAATTGAGGCTACATGAGGCAATCCCAATAAAACCACTTCCTTTATACTATTTTTTAGTAACTTTTCACGTATTGATCGTGTATTATACCCATTATCTACGAGTTTTTTTGGTGTGCAAAAAGTAGTACTCAATGGCTACCATCTACGTACTACTAAACATACGTAGATAGCTTATCTTTCAGCGAAATTATTATCTATACATTAACAAAACCAACAAAAATACATTGTTTAATAAGCAGCATAAAAGACCTAGAAAACATAATCTAGCAAAATGTATATAATATAAGCGGTCCATTGCGGTCCTTGAGGTCCACCATGCTTTGTTGTGGTGGACAAATTGCGGTTTGTGGTCCTTTGCCCAGGACCGGACCGCGGTCCTGCCGCAGTCTAGACGTGCCCGAAAATGGCAGCGGTTATCCGCTTCGTACCGTAAACCTTAAATTAACTCCCAAACCTCCTAAATATTTAGAATCTGTACTGATGGCGGGATCTTCACAGCAAATAGAAAGACGCTACTAAAATATGGTAACCGCGGAATAATAGGGTATCGAAGAGACTATGGGTGGTCCAGCGAAACCAAAACTACACCTTCACCATTATTTGCGAAGCTTTGTGGATCCCGAATCTTAGTCAACCCAGAGAAATGAAAATAGCGAAATAGAGGCCTCATGCTGATTGGTAAATCAACAACTATAGCTATCTTGGTTATTGTGTGTCGAATATAGGCTACATAGTGTTGTTTGTTAGTGATTCTACTAACCATATGATATCATCGTAAGTATTATCTCTGCACCTGATTGTTTTCGAGGTAGACTAATTCCTCGAGATGTTTTAGACCTTTATTAATACTATCTTGTATTCGTCCTGTCCAAAAAATGTTAAATTTTTCACAAAGATTTGGTGTAGAACCACAGTGGATGTATTACCCATCTTAGTGGTCGAGATACATTGTTGGAGCGTAATATTGAAAGTTTTCAGTACTCATGATATAAATATTGATGGGAGTTGATTGTGTGTTGCGTTGCATGTGTTGTCTAAGATACAAGTAGGCTGAGAGACAGGCATATTTGTATTCGCGTGATCCCAACCTCATTATTATCTCAGCAACCGGGATCTTTCAACACAGAGAAATGAGCCCAAAACCCAGCCCACTTGTGGGTGGGCTGGGTTTTGGGCTCATGCGCTTGCCCTTAGCTACTCACCAGATAGTCTGTCTGTCACTAGCGCGTTTTCCAACACGCTAGTTATCAAGCCACTGACGATGGACGATATCGTCGGCATCTAGTCTATTTATGGCCAAAGGCCTGTTGGACCTCCACTGTGCACTTTCAGCCCGTTTGCTGAAGTTATATGTACCACTGCAAGTGAGTTTGAAAGGTTTGCAGAGCCATACGAAGAAATCGTTCGACGCACATGGGCTACTGTTGGTGTCCTCCAACCCACTTCTAGCACATCGGGAGATGGCGAAAATTGAATATCACGACCGGAAGGTGATTGTATCAAAACTTTTGCTCATTCCCAAATTCAAAAATCTAACAATACCATCCTAAGTTGGCAAGTCTGACAATATAATATAGCTTGTAAAGCTAGACAACACTCTGCAATAAAGTAAAAGATTAACATGACGTTAACAACTGCATGGGTTCTGGCCGGATCTGCGCATGGACCACGCGATGCTTCGCGGTGCCTCCCGTGGGTCGGGTGGATCTAATCACATATTGCCGTGTCGTAATAGGGTATCTTCTTAGGGGAAAATTACCCCGCATGACTGAACCACAAGCCTGCTTTGGGTTGAGGAAATTTGAGCGGCAAAACTAGAAAAGAAGGCAAAGAAAGCAAAGCCAGTGCAAACGTACCGTGAAACGGCCAAGATGATCCAGGCATACCGAATGCTACGTTCAAAACGCAGCACTCTTTCGCAATACATAGCCCATAACCCATCGTCTACTTGAACTATTTGATGAGTCCATGATCCACACAAAGGGGCAGAGTATGACAAAATGGACCACTATCACAGATACCTCATGAGCTTGGAGAAGGCTTCTCTATGACTCTGGTCCATAGGCAAGGTTTCCAAGAACAAGTCTTGTTTCTAAAGATGCTAGACCTTGAAATTGTTAAGAGGTCACGTTATTACGGAAGCCTGTGTTCAATTCTGGACTATTGATAATACTACAGGTAACTCTGCAACAAGCTTATCTATGTCGGCAGGTTCAGCTTCCAGCTATTGATACCAGTCTAGGCGTATTTGAAACATGGGTCCAGAATCAAGCTACCTCAAATTTAAGCTTGAATTCTTGCATTGGCTCTATTGAGATCACCACGCACACTCTTGGCCATGTCATATCATCATGGGACCCGGAAAGTGGCCAGAATCTGGTCTTATCAAATCGTGACGCAGTGGCGCCTCTTGCGTGGGGAACTACGAGAACTGCAGTAGCAATAAGAAGTATGTGCAATAGACTAGATACAGCTAGATACGCAAGGAGATGCCTCTAGGGCTTAGGCAGCCCAAGGCTTCAAACATCGTCAAACTTTCCCAACCTCATTGTGATGAACACATGGTTGCTGCTTGGCTGCCTTACCGGCAACAAGTGCCAAGTTCCTGCTTCCCCATCTTTCGTCGAGTCACTACTACATATTTCCTGGTATTCGTATTTTGGCCTTCTCGCACCCGAGAATCCTCACAATAATCACTGCTAATGTGCTGCGTGCAAAAGGGAGATACTTCATTCGCTGTCATTGAGGAGAGACAAATTTCGATGAATTCGTTCTTCGTTAGGCATGATGTGTTCTCCACTTCTATGGCCACGATTGAAACGCTCACGGGCGTTCAGTTCTGAATTCTCTTCGTCTTGGAGCGCATTGTAGAGTTATAGAGGCAATTTTAATTCCAACCATTTGGTAAGAACCACGTAGAGTCTTCCACTGGCTTGAAAGCCCCGGAGCTTGATCATAGTGTTGCAATCTGGACAGGATGCATCGCTGAATTGTTCTGTCGGTTGATCTGTGAACAGGTTGTAGATAAGACCTGAAACTTCAGTTCTACCAATCACCGGTCCGTGACAATAACCCAAATCTCCACAGATATATAGGGGATGACCCCTAGAACCTCCTTGTAATTCTTTGAGCCAAGGTTATCCAAGGCACTCATGAGTTGAATGCGCAGACATAAGCTAGGGCGAGGCTCGGAAAAGTCGTGGTTAGGAGAAGTAGATACTTGCTTCGACCGAGAGCAGGGGAATGATGCGGAAGAAATTGCTCGAAGGGTATTTCCTCTCGTAAGTCGATTTTTTGATTGCAAGATTTTCGAGAGACGAGATTTCGATTCCATATTCATATCCATGCTGAAACCTTCGTATCGCGAGATGGACATGATGAATGCCGGGACCATAGCAAAATGGCCCCAGCCGGTTGATCCAAGGAACAATACTACCCGTATTGCACCGGTTATATTGCCATTCCTCGGGTGGGTTAATCTTCTGCCACAGGTGAAGTTTCTCACAATCGAGACATACATAATATGGTGGGAGGTCTCGAGTGAGCCTTGTGACGAACTCCAAGGTCTCACCTTTGTCATCTCTATAATTCTGTGAGGATAAATCATGACCGACTGATCCCTGCTTGTCGGGCATAAGGAGAGATAAAAGGTCGTGGTTACAAAGTGCCAGGCACAGGTGATCAACAGGTAATAGGAAAGCGACAATCATCAAAAATAGTTCGATTGGGAGATCAGTCAGTCCCATAGCTCGGTGGTTGACGGTCACAGGGCGGGCATTGGCATGTCTTGGATTTGGAAAGAACAGTTCTCCATGGTGGTGGTGGTGGTGGTGGTGATGGTGGTGGTGTAATTGAGAAGAAGAACAAGAGATGACCAGGTTGACAGGGTGAGAAGGAGGCTTGCCGCGGGCCACATTGCAGGTAGGTTGCCTGGTAGGTGAGGATGGTGCAAACGACGGCAATGGCTATCCCATTTGGGTGACTTCCCGATATAGACTGGTTTGTATTGTATATTAGTTTCAAGCAAACGCAACCACGTGCAGTCCCAACTCCATTATTTCCATCTCGCGCAACTACACCTCCAAGACCACATGCGTCGTCGACTCAGATCGCCACCTTCGGCAATCCGCCTTTTCTCATCCATCTCGGAGATCTAGAATAGGGCTCCACCTTCACACACGAGGACGACGCATCAACGGAAATGGCCCGAAGCGGTGTCCAGCCGGAGAGTACCGAGCAACTCAGCATATTGAGGCATTTTATTCGAACCAATACGAGCTATGGGAGATGAAGGATTCGCCAATACGACCGATAGGCATGAAGACTTTTGCGGCGCTCGATCCCACAGCATCACCATGTACCTCCAAAAGCTTGGCTCAACCAAGTTCAGTAGTTCAAAGCACAGCAGCAGCTCAATGGACCCTGTCGACTGGGCGATTCGCAAAGTTGCAGGAGGCGCTAAAGCTGGTGATGTTGACAACGTGCTTGAGAGGACGGGGTGGACATTTACCGGCCCTTGAATACGATGTGCCTCCAATTCACGAGTACCCCGACTATATGTGAGCTTCCAATGGCCGATTTCCAGAATGAGAACTAATAGTTCTCGGTCCATCACACAGCATCGAGAAGACGTCTGAGATACCGGGAACTTCCAGCAGCCGGTCAAAATTAAGATCAAATACGACCCGAATTGCTTGTTGAATCGAGGCAGATTTCCTGATGCCGCGGGATGTATGGCTTGGGGGCTTGCGAATACTTCTATGCCGTCAATATCTTGAAAGCACCTTTTGAGCCTAAGGAAGCGAGGGTATTGGCTATACTAAAGCCCATATATTGGTGGATGATCCCACATGTCGTTTCTTGGATTGATCTCGTCTCGCAACTCCACACACGCGCACTTATCGGAGCCCGTGGTTTTCAGTTATTTCCCGAATAATTTATCTCGGAGAGAGAATGAAAATTGAAAAATATTGTATCGGCGACCTAGTGGCTTGGTAATCGGTCAAAGCTCCGAGCCAATAAGTACGGGGCAGCAGGGTTAAGATTCATTCTTGCCATTATGCAGCGTTGAACTGAATAGCTCATGTCTCTTGGTGCAGCTAATGAGTCAAATCGGCGACGATCTAGGATATGTCAAATTACTGAAGATGAGATTGTGATCATAATTTCCTCAAAGCTTTCGAATGCGCACCCTGTATAACGGTGACCCGTTGCTTAGAATGGCCATATAGCACACGGCGCGGCCAGGAACCGTCGATTTAAATGCGCACGGCCTGCTCGAAAGCTCCGAATCGGTCCCGGAGTTTTTAAATTCGGTAGGCTATGTAACCCTGTCCCACTTTCGTCTTTCGGTATAGAATCCTTCGGGGAGAAGCTCCAAGTGTGGCCAGTTTTTCTTCGCAGTGCGGGGATTCAGTCCAAACCCCACATCCTGTTTAGGTTATGTTGCGGTAGATCCGTAAGATCAGTCCAGCTTGGATCACGGAACAACTTGAATGCTCTATAAAAGAGTTTGCTAATCCCGAACTTTGGGGGGGAAAGATGACAGTTCGAATTTCACCTTTGACAATTCACCACAATGCGGCTGCTGAAGCAATGGCTGTTTCCCCTATTCGTCTGCTTGGCCAACGGCCAATCATTCGACCCCAATAACGTAAAATCACCGAATCAATTTGATCCGGCACATGTTGGCACCAATAAATCGTCGGGTACGACTTACTCAAATCCTATAATGACGACCAATGCTGGAGATCCGTGAGTAAATTTCGCGATATGAACCAACATAACGTGACACTTGCTGATAATCATGTCTAGGTTCATGGTGCATCATGATGGCTGGTATCTGTTCACATATTCAACAAATGACAACATCACTCTCAAGCGATCTCGCTCCCTGACTGACAACTGGGACACGGCGGAAACGAAACTTCTCTTCAAGCCTGATCCTGAAAGTGGTGATCCATGGAGCACCGACGTAAGTCCAATCAAGGCCCAACTGATTTGCATCGTCTCATTTCTTGAAATTCCAATCTAATATGACTTTAAGCTTTGGGCTCCAGAAATTCATCAGATCGATGACCGCTGGTACATTATTTTCAGCGCCACTCCGGATGCAGACTCACCTCATCCACTTCAAGATGCCATATGTCCATTCGAGTGTCCCGCTGTCAACCACCGAATGTTTGTCTTAGAAAGTGATGGATCGGACCCCTGGGCCTCCAACTATTTCATGAAGGGAATGCTGAATACTTTTGACCAATTCGCTATCGATGGGACCTACTTCCGATACAATAACCAGCTTTACCACATCTACAGCTGCTGGGAAGATACCTATAGTGCCTGGCCTGCGAACTTGTGCATTACTCACTTAAGCAGCCCTTGGAACGTCTCTTCAAGCCTCACGCAAAGACGGATGATTTCAGTCCCCGATGAGCCCTGGGAACAAGTCCCCTACGGACGAGCTGGCCGACTGGCAACCAATGAAGGCCCCCAGCAACTCACAAACCCAAAGACTGGACAGAACTTTGTCGTCTATTCAGCTGCTCGAGTCAATACTCCATTCTACTGCCTTGGCATGCTGGAGCTCGTGGGTGATGATCCTATGGAATATCAAAATTGGAGGAAGCATCGTGATGGTTGTGTCTTCCATCAGAACCCTGATGCTGAGGTATATGGTACAGGTCACGCAAGCTATACAACTAGTCCGGATGGAACTGAGAGCTATGTGGTCTACCATGCACAGACAACGGACGATCCTACACGTGAGTATTTCTATCGGCTTTGAAATTAGCATCGGCCGATTCTAATCAAGGGAAAATTGCTAACTTATTCACTAGCTGATCTCTACCGTACCGTGCGCACGCAGAAGTTCACTTGGAATGAGGATGGAACGCCGAATTTCCCGAAAGCTCTGAATGGTCCTTTCCCGGTACCCAAGGGTCAGAAGTAACTGGAATAGGTAGCAGTGAAATATCAGCTCATTGACCCCCCAGTGATGAAAGACTAGCTCTTGATCCTGATTCCTGCTCAGGGATATATGATTTCATCCATGGACCCCTTGGCCCCAGGCCTATTACTAGTATACTTCCATGATAGTAAATGGGTAGACAGCCCCTGGATCTGTGAAATACTTCCAACAATGGAACAATCTTTCAAGTAGTCAAATAAAATATCCTCAATTAATTTCGCGTGATACGATCCTCCTTCCACCAAATAACCTTAACACCGGGTAGTTACTAGTAGTAGTCTTGGCCGTGGGGTTAATCTATTTAGCCATGCGGAGGTACAGCCGCGTTGGCTTCATTTTAGCCGGTACGGTTAAAGCAGTCCGGCGGGATGGCTGCTTGAATGACATTAAATACCACGCCAATGGTGCCTCCGAGATCAATTCTCGGCTTTTCGTGAAAATAATCACGAATAGGTGTATTTGGTCTCCCTACTCCACGAACGTCGAAAAGAACCCAAAATGGCACCCAACCCACTTATTACCCACCTCTACACTGCCGATCCATCGGCCCACACCTTCAACAACAGACTATACATTTACCCCTCTCACGACCGCGAAACTGACATCGCCTTCAACGACAATGGCGACCAATACGATATGACAGACTACCATGTCTTCTCTATGGACTCGATTGACGGCCCTGTGACGGATCATGGGGTTGCTCTCACCGCTAAGGATGTGCCCTGGGTATCCAAGCAAATGTGGGCGCCGGACGCTGCTGCCAAAAACGGGAAATACTATCTCTTTTTCCCGGCCAGGGATAAGGAGGGTATTTTTAGAATCGGAGTAGCGGTGGCAGACACGCCAGAGGGACCCTTCGTTCCCGAGGAAGACTTTATTCCGGGCAGTTACAGTATTGACCCAGCCTCGTTTGTCGACGAAGATGGGCAGGCATATCTGTATTTTGGCGGGATATGGGGCGGCCAGCTTCAATGCTGGACCGAATCCGAGAACGGCCTTACCTTCGACGCTTCGAAGTCCGGTCCACATGAACCGTCTGGGGAGGGCGTCGTGGCTTTATCGCCACGTGTTGCTCAGTTGAGCGATGATATGCTCACTTTTGTCGACCCGCCTCGCGATTTGCAGATCCTTGCGCCGGAGACTGGGAAGCCTATCTTGGCTGATGATCATGAAAGAAGGTTCTTCGAGGCGGCTTGGATGCATCGTTATGGTGGAAAGTACTATTTTTCGTACTCGACTGGAGACTCGCATTATTTGGTCTATGCGACGGGGGATTCACCGTTTGGTCCCTTCACATATCAAGGTCGGATTCTGGAGCCTGTGCTTGGATGGACGACGCATCACTCGATTGTTGAGTTCCGTGAGAAATGGTATTTGTTCTATCATGATTGCGAGTTATCCAAGGGTGTTGATCATCTGCGTTCTGTGAAGGTTCGCGAAATTGTTTACGACGAGGAGGGGAAAATTAGCTTGGCTTGAGTGTAGCAATTAGCTGAGCTGGCTTATTGCGAGCAAAACTCGGAAGTAGACTCTTTGTATTGAAACAACCGGAATATAAATAAGCATTACAGCGTGATGTTTGAGATACACCATTGAAGTAGCCTTCACATGATTCACTTGGTCATCTAGTGCGCCATCCCCTTTTCCCAATTCTCTTCAACAATCTTCCAATACCTCTCCTGACTGCGTATACGGAATGACTTTCCAAACTTGATCATCACGAGGAAAACCAAGGCACACGCAAGTCCGACGAAGGCTGCGGATATAAAGCAATTTTGGTAACCCATGTTCTGAATCCAAGAGTAATTCTAGGAGAAATTAGCAGGATATCGCCCATTGAAGAGCCGAAAAACATACCCATAGCCAATTGCGAAAGACATGGTATTTCGCACCAAAATAACTGTGGTCATCGCTACTCCACTCAACTCTCGGTAGCTGTCAACCATGTAGTTGACACTCAGTGTGATACCGCTGGTATTTGTGAAAGCGAGCATGCACATCGCGACGATGAGGCCAAACCAATGGATTTCGTGCGCGGCACCAACACCCCAAAGCAGAAGTGAGCCTGGCACGAGAATTAAGTTGGCGGCGAAAGGCCACAATCGATGCTCTGCTTCCATCACGCCGCCATTCCGACGGGCTAACTTTACAGTCAACCAGTCACTAAAGCGACCAGCAAATAGAGAGCTAGACTAATTAGCATTGGCTATCGTTATATTTTGACCAGGACTCACCCTAGAGTTACCCCGAGACAGCAGGCAACGTAGCTCAGACCGACCATAGAAGATCTGCTTTCTCTTAGTTCTTGTTATTTTATGAGCGCCGGCGCCGTTTGACTTACTTGAAGTTGTAGGGCGGTCCACCCAAGATAATCGAAGCAGTTCCGTTTAGAATATTGAACAAGACAAGATAGGATCCATATGAGAAGCTGATCAAGCGTTAGCCATCCGCAATTAAATGGAGGTGGAGAAGAGTATACATACCCAGAATAAAAGATAACCGGCCATGACAAGTAGTACAAACTCTGCCAAAGTTGTCGAAACATTGTGTTTT